ATGTTAGTGAAATACTTGAAATTAAACTTCTAAGCATTCCCAATCCAAATCACTGGTTTGGCAGTCGCAATGCATTATGAGGCTTTGATTCTATGTTTTATAAAATGCACTGAAAATAAACTAGGGTAGGGCGCCTTTGCACCAATCTTACGGGGTACTGTTTCACGGCAGAGCGCTGCAGCGCACTGTAGCCGTATTGGTGCGGCATTTGAGACAAACTTGGCTCGGTCGAAGCTCCAGCATTGCAAGCATCCGAGTTGATGTTTTCAGGGAAACCCAATACACCTTTATATGCAGAGCATTGCAGTGCAGCGCCTTAAAACAGGGCCTAGGATGCTTATCTCAATTTAGGCGACTATTTTAACCTTCGCCCCAGTGGGGGGGGGGGCATATGTTACCACCCTGTCACGTTTTTTGCATGTGAATAAAAAACCGCGGCGCGTAGCGCCGCGCCGCTTGGGGTAGCTTTTGGTACATCAATTTGGACAATGTGTGAAATTTTTGACCCCAGGTCATGTCAGGTCAGGTCACCAGGTCAAGTTAACAGACCAAGCCTTAAAAAAAGTTTGCAATCATGTCCAGCCTGCAGTGTTTGTCAGAAAGGTTTGAAACTTGGTGGATTGCATGCTGTTATGGGTGCCTACAATTTGTATATCTCGGATTTTTTATATCCGTGACCTAAGGTCAGGTCAGTGGCATGACCTTTCCATTACAAGTCAATGGAGAAAAATGAAAATGCCTCTAGATCCGTGTGTACGCATAGGAACAGTCCAAATATTTCAGAATCACAATGATTTAGTCCACTCGTGATGACCAAGGTGTCATTTTTGCTGATAGCCTCTAGAAAGGTCATCCGAGGTCATTTGAGGCTACAAACAGTTTTTTGCCAATAACTCGCGATTGGAAAGAGATAGAACGCTGGGGATGGTCTCATTGTGTTTGTCTTGTTGAGACGCATCGACTGATATGCAACATGACCTTTTTTGGTCAGGTCATGACCTTGACCTGAGGTCAAATTTTCAAGTTGACCTTTCAAGGTCAAATTATAGTTCATTCGACGCATCTCGGTGAGGGGAACACGATTCTGGCAATATAAATGTCGTGGCTTTTTGTAGTCGAAAGTTATTGGCGAAAAACACTTTTCGTAAAAAACAGCTATTTTTGGAGTTTTTGCTCTCTGGAGGCTAAACCGTTGACCTTAGGTCAATATTAATAATGACATTTTCAAAAGAAGAGTTCAAAAGCTATCGATTGTTTTATCATGCGTTTTTCTAGCTACCATAGTTCCTGAGATAGCGGCATGTGTTCTGAAAAATATAATGACAATTGGCAAATTTTGACCTTTGATGACCTCTGGTGACCCTAATATTGCTCTAAGGTGAAAAATGACCGAAATACTTTCAAACGTACGCGTTGAGAGCTATCGACTGCTTTTTACCGCGTCTTTCTAGCCCTCTTAGTTTTTGAGTTAGAGGTGGGTGGTAACATATGCCCCCCCTCACTAGGGCGAAGTTGGCCGAGACCGCCACTGGGGCGCGGGTTAACTTACCACCAACTCCAAGATTGACCTTTTTGGGATTCTGATCCGCATTGTATGCTCTGGTTAGTGCAAAAACCTCAATAGGCGGAGCAGTTTGGACGTTTGAAAAGATGCTCATCTTGAGATTTACTTATGAAAAGGTTGCAAATACACAACCAAAATATTTGTTTTCCAAACGCCCCCAAGTGCCCCGCCTCCCGCACGAGTTTGGGTGACTTTCACGGAAATGGCAAGGTCAAGTAATACCCAATATAACACATTGGATATAAATTGCATACTAAGATATGGAATTAGTCTTTTTTGCCTTTATCATTAAGTTACTAATAATATTATTTTTTGCAATATTTGTGAATATTTCATTAAATGATTGATAACAATTTCAAACAAATGAAGGAACTAATAAAGTTTAGACGTCATTTGTAGGAGAAAATAATGCATCAGTTTAGTATCGTCAGCAAAACAATATGCAGGTGCATATTTTTTCTACATTAGTTCATCGATGAAGTAGAAAAATGCATATGAAATTACTTTTTGGTATTCAGCTTCGTTTTTGTTAATCCTGCATTTTCAATTGCTAACTTTGCTCATCATACCTAAGAAATACCTTGTCGATAAACTTTTGCAGTATTTTAGGTGGGCTTCATGGAAAGCATGCAAATAGAAATCTGCGCATGCGTGAAAAACTCCTTTATTTTTGTTTTCTGTTTGCGAGGAATGGTGATTCTCGATGGGGTGAGTTGAAAAATATGTCAATTATCCAGAAACTCTTTTCAATATTAATTCTTTGCTGCTCATTAGATATGCCATTTAAGTAATAATAGCGTCATATTTGTCGCCCTAATATCAATATACACTGCTGAGTTGTTACCACTCGTTACCACTAGGACTACAAAGTTTACTGATGTTTGCTCAATTTCCCTATTATATTTGTCACTTATGGGTGAATTTGGGTTTTCCTTCCAGTACATGTGCTTTGCGCATGCATGCAGGTTTTCAAGAGATCAATTTTTTCACTTGGAGATGCAGTTTTCTTTGTTGTTGTGCATGATGATTTTGTTGCTGTTATTGGTGCGGTTCGGCCACTTTTTTATGGACGATGGTGAAAACAGGGCACCTGGGGCGATTTGATCAAGGTTCGTGAAATTTACATGTGACGTTTAGCATGTAGAAGGCCCACAGTGGGGGAGAAGCTCCAAATGTCACGTGAATAATATGTCCTGCGGCGCCCTGTTTTCACCGGCATCCGTTTTTACCAGCACCCACCAGCTTGCTGGCATTTCTGGTCTTCTCATCGATAAAACTCGTGTAGCGTATGTGCCTCACCCATGATTGGCAATGGAATGGCTGAGAGTAATCTTCAAAGTCCACATATGGGAAAATGAGCAGAATGCTGATATAAGCTTAAAATGAGCAGGTGTGTTAGAGGTCATTTTCATCAGTAACTGAGCTCCATTCATCACTGTTTTCTCCTCTTGACCCTTTCCTCTATCAATCATATGATACAATTTTGCCTGTTTCTTTCCAGCTGCTGCTTGAGATCAGCAATTAAAAATTAGGTCACAAATTGATGAGGTGTCTTGGTATGGCCTCAGATCTGTGCTGTGATTGCAGGTTGTGATCTTTTAGAGTGGAATAGTTCGTATATAGTAAATTTTGGGTACATGCTTACCTAGTTTATATTGGATGTGATCATTTGTAAATATTAGACCATGGCCATCCACAAAAATGTAAAGCTTGAGATTTGATAACCTCTAGGTATGTAGACCATAACCTTATATAAAATGATCAAGTTGATATAATAGTTTGTCTTCTGTTTAGCAGACATTTGTATTATTTTCTGTTTAACAACAGCAGAAGAGGTTAAGCAAGGCATTGAAACATCAGCCAGACCTTCTAGTGCCTGTTAGCAAAATTTCAGAAAGGTCAAAGATAAGCATACCCCAATAGTTAATGTGCATTAGCTCTGAAAAAATCAGGTTTGAAATACTTATTCAGTTTTATGAAACTGGACGGTTCAATGTTTCTAAATTCCCATCCACAGACACTGTACAGTGTGAAGTGTACACCTGGCCATAATTTTGTGACACCTGGTGCCCTGGTGAGTAACTGCATCATTTGGCCCTGGATTGTTGGTCTGTTCATTCTGCATTTCACTGATAAGCCTGGTTGAAGATGGTTTACCAAGTGAATGTGCTTTGCATTCGCAAACTAATGCATGCTGGTGTGTGACCTTTTATCTGTTCTGAACCAGCACTGACAAACCTCCTTTCTGTTTCAGAGATAAAATTCAACTGTGTGTCATGCATTAGTCTTTCTGCGCTCTCCACTGCCGTTCTCGCGGCCTGCTTCCGAGCACTGCCCGCAGCCGTCCGGGCGGCACGCCGCCGTCGCCGCCGCAGCCATGAGCTCGGCCGAGCGCAAATGGCCGTGCGAGTACTGTACGTACGAGAACTTTCCCTCGTCCAAAAAGTGCACCATGTGTTACGCGCCGCGCCCCGTGTACCTGATCTCGGAGGAGGCCGACCAGGACATCTACATCTGCGGCGGCGGCGGCGGCGGCGGCGGCGGCGGTGGGGGCAGCGGCGGCAGCCCGCCCGCCTCGCCGACCGCTGACGACGCGTCGCGCAAGTGGGCCTGCTCGCTGTGCACCTACCTGAACTGGCCCCGCGCCGCCAAATGCGTGCAGTGCCGCTCGCCGCGCCGGCGCGCCTCCCCACTAACGGCGGCCAACCTGCACGAGGCGCTGGCGCCGCTACACATCCGCACCCCGTCCTCGGAGAGCCTGGCGCGCCGCGGCTCGCCCTCGACCCCCTCGCCGCGCCACCACGAGCCGCGCGAGCCCGGCACACGCAAGTGGGTGTGCTCGACGTGTACGTACGAGAACTACCCGCGCACGCGGCGCTGTGCCATGTGCCAGACGTGGCGGCCGGCGGAGGAGGAGCCTTCGGACGGCGGCGGCGCGGCGGCCGCCTCGCCGCCTCTCTCCAACTACGAGTACGAGCGCCGGCTGCGCCAGCTGCGGCGCCGCCAGCGCGAGGCGGACTGGGTGTGGCTGAACGCCTGTCTGGCCACGGTCGACGGCGACCCGGAGCCCGTCGACGCCTACCTGTCCTCAGGTCAGCGGATTGGCCGGGGAGTGGGTGGGACGGCTGGTGACGTTTTACTTGTAAATTGGGGGCTGTGACACTGACATTACGTTATGTGTGCGTATTTCGGAACAATCGAGCCATCCTTTACACGTGTGATAACCGTTCGTTGCGTCTCCGCAGGCGGTGACCCGGCCCGCCAGCTCAGTAAGGCAGAGGTGGCACTGCTAAATCGGCCGGCCGTGTTCGACGTGGGCCTCACGCTAGTCCACCTGGCCATCAGGTCAGTCAGGGATGCTTCACTGCAATCGACAGCACTGGAATAGGGATTTTGATTGGAACTCTGGCGTGGTACTTCCCTATTGTTTGTCGATCATCGAGTATCATTGAGGGTCAGACAGCGATGAGCGTGTTGAAGCTAATTATTAACTTCGGTGCAAATCAGATTTTTGTTTGACGGTACGTTTCTGCTATTTCTTGTCTAGCACTCATCTGTACCGATTAAGCTTTTTTTTCCAACTAGACCTATCACGTAACATTCATTTGTTCATCCCTGACATGCATCTCCATTAACTCCATGTGTCGTTCCATCAGGTTCTGCCAGGACACGATTCTGTCTACGGTGCTCTCTCGGATGGAGGGCGCCGGCTCGGGAGTGAAGCGGGTGCCCTCGCTGGTGGCGCCGGACGTAGCGCAGGCCGTCCGGCGCTCGGTGGCTACCACCCTAAGACAGAAGAAGGTCGCCTTCCCCTGCTACTTCATGACCGACATGACGTGGTTCTCACTGCCTGCAGGTGGGTCAACTGCCGCGGAAATCAGTCGAAACTGCTCTGTATTTTTCGGGGACAATGTGTCTTATCAATTGGTGACGTAGGTATTACGAAAAAGAAATGTTAGATATGAACATATCAACGCTGTTACGATCTGTGTATGCTCGTATGGAAATGTCCTTGGTCAAGTCTACCTGCTCGAATGATCCGTTTACGAATGGTTATCGTCCTCGACCTGTCGGCTCTCCCACATAGTTTTCTGTTAGCCACAATCAGCCAGTGATTTTCACGCACCTCCACCCCTATCTTTCCGACCGTCAGACCTGGACGAGCTGCCGGACATGGTGCAGCAGCAGCTGTTCGAGGAGCTGCTCGACAAGGAGGCGCAGAAGGAGCTCGAGGCCGACGCGCCCATCATCAACTGGAACCTGGACGTGACGGAGCGGCTCGGCAGCCGGCTGTACGCGCTGTGGAACCGCACCGCCGGCGACTGTCTGCTCGACTCGGTACTACAGACTACCTGGGGCGTGTTCGATAGGGAGAACACGCTGCGCCGCGCACTGTTCGACAGCCTGCACGAGGCCGCCAGCGCGTAAGTGGAGGACGTGACCCGGGGCTGGAGCTGGGGTCCGTGTCTTGGGGAAGGGTGGTTTTGCTAGCTCACAGGTTAAGAAGGAGTATGTGAGAAATGTCCACGGCCTCTTCAGGATGTAGTGGACATAATCAGGCTGCTTTGTGGCTATGACGTATTTCTGGCTTGCGGAGTCGTTAAGCTTTTTTTTAGTCTGTCGGTACCTTGAGTTTCCTGAACGAACGTTAGAGGTCAGGACCTGCAATAAACAGGACATTTTATACAGTAACCTACTGTCAAATAAGTGTACCATGCGCTACGAGTCGTATTTGCGGGTGTTCTCTCTCAATGTATACCGAAAACCATTATCTGACCGAGTACAAGCCGCCGGTCTCTGACCCCCCCCCCCCCCCCGCCGTCCTTTAGTTTCTACCCGCGCTGGTACGAGTACGAGCTGCAGCAGACGGAGCGGCTCGAGTACCGGCTCGACGAGGACCAGCTGCGACACGACTGGCTGCAGCTACTGGCGCTCGGGAAGCCGGGCACGCCGCTCGAGCAGCTGCACGTGTGGACGCTGGCGCACATCATCCGCCGGCCCATCATCGTCTACGGAGTCAAATATGTCAAGAGCTTCCGCGGTGAGCCGCTCGGCTACGCCAGGTTCGAAGGTGAGTCAGCTGGTGTGAAGTGACAGGATGTATAAGATTGTTAGGGCTGCTGTACTTACCACTGAATCCCCTACAAACAATTATATATCTATTAAGTCACATATCCCCGCACCATTATTTTGTCTGTCAATGTCTTGTTTCGGTGTTCACTGAGGGATTGTATAACTTCTATCGATGTTGAGAAGGTTCAGTCAGTGATTCAAAATCTGACAGAAAAACCGTCCGTTCTCTCGTCGGACTAGCCGTCCCGGCGTGTGTTGCGATCCGCCCGCCGCCGTATTCAGTGCGGATGGATTGGGACTGAATCCCCGCAGCTATCAGGCGGCTGGCCCGACCGCTGGGTCCCAGGTGGCCCCCGTTTGTATTCTGTGCGATAGGAGCGGCGGCGCTCACCGCTACATTGTCGGTTTGGGCAGCGCCGACCCGCATACCAAATCCGGCCAGAGGCGCGACTCCGTTCACTTGTTGATTGGAGAGAATGGAAGAAATGGATTCACTGTGGCGCGAGAGCCTGTTTCGATGGTTTTACATCGGTGGTTCGTGCTTTCGGTCGGGAATGAAAGGACAGCTTCAAAACTACTGTTCACAGATTTTGACACAAATATACGAACGGAACATTGTGCTCCATCCCAGGAGTGTATTTGCTACCGCTATTGGTTAAACGCAGTACCGGCGGCTTGTTACTTCTCGTCCCACCCTGCGTGACGAGGTTCATCTAACGCTACGGCTCCATTCCAGGGGTGTACCTGCCGCTGCTGTGGGACTCTTCGTTTTGCTCCAAGTCGCCCGTCTGCCTCGGCTACACCCGCGGCCACTTTTCGGCGCTGATCCCCGCCATGCCGCCGACCTCGCACCTCACAGGGGCAGGTGAGGGCTCACTAGACTAACCGGCATGATAGTCATAGCCCATATGTGGGGGTTGGTTATGGGAAGGTGTACCGAATCATTAAAATATCGAATTGAAAATGCCAACACTGACTGTGGGGTCAGTGTCGTGCCCATCACTTGGTGCGCGTCTGTTTGTCCGTGGGTAGCCTGCTCGCTCCGCATGTAGATTTTACCGTGATCCGTGTCTACCTGGCCTGCATTCAGCCCGTAACCTGCACGGTGTACCGCAGGCTCATCCCCCCCCCTCACCCCCGTCAGGCGCCGACCTGCACAGTCCGGAGACGGGCGGCGTGGTGTTCTACCCGCTGATGACGCACGACGGCGCGCTGCTGCCGGTACACTTTGTGACGCGCTCGGAGCGCGGCCGAGAGGAGGCCCTGCTCCGCCAGTGGCTGGACGTGTGTGTCACGGACGGCGGCTGCCTGGTGACTCAGTGCCAGCTGCCGCGGCCGCCGCTGCTGGTGGCCCAGATGGTCCAGGAGTGGCTCAACTACTACAGACGCATGTGGTGAGAGCTGGTGGTGTGGGGTGAGACGGGGGCGGCCTGGAGGGCCGGTTGTAGTCGTTCATTCCTGACTGTGATTCCAGCGAATGTGATGGTCGAAGGGATGGGTGTTACGTTCATGCATGGGTGTCGCGATCATTTAGCAGCATGAATCAAGGCTGATGGTAATCGGTTTCACCGATTGTTAATGGTTTTGTCATTTGTGAGGGCGTAGATGGGTCTCGAGAACTGTTTTTCTCCTATTGCAACTTTGACTGTTTGCCGATACAAAATGTTTGTATGCCGTGTGTTCCTCTCACCTCTGACACCGCCCCCCCCCTCCCATCTCTTGCCTACAGCCCAGTGACGGGGCCGGTGTTCCCCACCAAGCTGCCAGCGGCCGCCGACGAGGCCAGCTCGGATAACGAGTCGGAGGGCGAGTGACCTCCCGCCCGCCGCCGGCTGTCACGCCTATAGTCCAGTGATATTTCCGTAGTCAGCGCGCCCGCCGGCGCCACCGCCCCTAGCCAGACTAGTACCTGACGGAGAGAGAGTGGCCCGGCGCGCGCCAGAAACCCACCCGCTGGGATGTTATATGAATTCCTGCCTATTTGTCCGGCCGGCGCCGGCCGCCAAAACACAGTCGCTACGGGCAGCTCGTGTATTCGCCGGGGGTCGGTCTGAGGCCCGCTGGAATGCCGTGAGGCGAAAACGAACGGCCAACGGTGGGTAGGGCGGCCCGTCGGTGATGGACAAAGCAGAGACGCGGAAGGAGGACACGCCAGCACTGTACACGCAGCGTCTTTCCCTGGCGGAGGCTGTACTCGTCCGCCGCACCGTCGAGCGGTTAGTGAGCGAGAGAATATATACTATACTGCGATACACGAGCGCGACTAAAACCTCTACTGCGGCGCGCCCATCGTGTTAAAAGGTCTGTTGCTTGTTAGTGCATACAAACGCCGACCCAACAAAAACCAGGGGTCGGGGAATCTGAATATGAGTGTGATGATGAGTGTGAACGCTAGCGCCGTCTTACGGCCTCACTGTCAATGATGCCCCGGCGGCCGCGGTCGCGGGGATAATATAACTGAACACCGTGTCGATCGGTCTGTGTCCGTCCGCCGGGCCGGCTGGAGATGGAAGACTGTACATTTGGAGAGCGGACACTCGACGACAGACAGGCACTGCTCGGCGAGAGGCCGTGTAGCGACACCACCGACCGAAAACCCAGTACGGTATGCTACACTACCGACAACTTACAATACAGACATTCGCTTATACATACGAACCTAACCATCTCCCTTTGTACATCCACCCATCTCGCATCTCCCGTTCACACATCGGAACCCCCCACCCCCACCCCGACCGTAACTTACAACGCAACTCCTCCCGAAACTCCACCCGACACTGGCCGACTCTCTCACGGCGTGTCCTGCGCTATGAAGAAGTCCTCCATCCGGCGCGTGCCGGTGATCCTCAGACACCTCTCGTTGGCCGTGTGCAGCAGAGCGGTGAACGCCAGCGCCACGCTCAGGTTATCCGCCATCTTGGTCGACATGTGGCTGGGCAGACGGTGGTACAGCTCTCGGAAGCTGTAGTCGCGCCCGGGCGGCATCACCGCCTCCTTCAGCACGCTACGGGACGGAGTGGTGGCGTTCTCCTGCGGGACAGCGGGGAAGCGGTGACACGGGCGCCTCTACGAGTGGTCTTATATGCAATGGAGCAGACATCTAAAGGCTACACAGAAACAGGGGCACGCATGACGCACCACATTTTCATTTCTCGTTGATTTGAGTTGAGCTGAGCCATGTCAATGAAGATTTTCATTTCTCAATGATCACACCTTATAACTACAATATATCCACGCTTGGCTGCGTTGTAACCCATCCTGCATCGTATCGGTCAAAACCATTACGAGCCTCAGTCCACCGACAAAGCACCCACCTTGTCGTCATTTCCTCTGTCCGCCAGGATCTCCCACATGGCCGCCTTCAGCTTCCGCATGTCCATCTTCTTGGCCGTCCGAGCGTACGGAATGAGGATCCTCTCCACCTGAGACACAGAACAGCGACCGATCAACGCGGTCCGAACGAGGCGCGGGTCCGCCGGAGCGAACAGCGGCGAAATCGAACACGAAATAAGGCTATCAGGTGAGGAGAGATGGATTGTGATAGACGGACACTCTGGTCCGGCGCAGAACAGAAATAACTAGCGGTCATGGGACGGCGAAAATATCGGGCGCAAGTTACAGACATTCTTGTCGCTCGAAAATTAACCACCGAACACACCGAAAACTATTAAGACAATAGGATGCGTTTCAGTGTAATGAAAAACGCATACAGGATATCCTGTAAGAGTAATTATGTCAAAGTTAGGAAGAATCCACACAAAAATCTGGTTTCAAAGAAACAATCAAGTTTACCATTGCGTCCAGCTAGGTTAACGTATCGATCCTACCTTCAAATAATCGAGCTAGCGGATCACCATCGTCCTGACTACACCCCCATTCCCATCCTTCCCAACATTGCGGACCGCAGGCTCATTAGCCCACCTTTTTCGGCGCCTGCACGAGGTTGTCCCCGATGAGCAGTCCGCCCGGTGTGTCCAGTACCACCTGTGTGGACGAGAGCAGCTCACTGGCGTCACACGCGCCGCCCGACGGCAGGAACGTCGCCTCCTGGTCGTAGTCGTCGCAGCCCTCCTGGAAATGAAGCAGTGCGGTCAGACGGTGGGGCACGACACGACTGAGGGTTGGGTGAGCATCGGGGCGATGGCTGAAAAAGACTGACAAACTATGAAGATTGTGTTCCCTTGAGTACTAGATGCCCAACCGTGTTAATGGTGTTTATTGTTTGTACAACTTTAGATAAGACTTTCGACATTAATGTTATAACTTTGCACCTTGCAAGCGCCGAGTCTACACTTCGCATTAGCGATAATACACATTTAACTCACACTGAGCGGCGAGTTCGGACAGACGTCTGCCGTGTCCCTGCCTAACTCCCCCTGTCTAACTCACACTGAGCGGCACATCGGGACAGTAGTCGGCCGTATCCCTGTCTAACTCCCCCTGTATAACTCACACTGAGCGGCACATCGGGACAGTAGTCGGCCGTGTCCCTGCCTAACTCCCCCTGTATAACTCACACTGAGCGGCACATCCGGACAGTAGTCGGCCGTATCCCTGTCTAACTCCCCCTATCTAACTCTCCTCTGTATAACTCACACTGAGCGGCACATCGGGACAGTAGTCGGCCGTATCCCTGTCTAACTCCCCCTGTATAACTCACACTGAGCGGCACATCGGGACAGTAGTCGGCCGTATCCCTGTCTAACTCCCCCTGTATAACTCACACTGAGCGGCACATCGGGACAGTAGTCGGCCGTATCCCTGTCTAACTCCCCCTGTATAACTCACACTGAGCGGTACGTCGGGACAGTAGTCGGCCGTATCCCTGTCTAACTCCCCCTATCTAACTCTCCTCTGTATAACTCACACTGAGCGGTACGTCGGGACAGTAGTCGGCCGTACCCCTGCCTAATTCCCCTGTCTGATTCCCCTCGAATAACTCACACTGAGCGGCACATCGGGACAGTAGTCGGCCGTACCCCTGCCTAATTCCCCTGTCTGATTCCCCTCGAATAACTCACACTGAGCGGCACATCGGGACAGTAGTCGGCCGTACCCCTGCCTAATTCCCCTGTCTGATTCCCCTCGAATAACTCACACTGAGCGGCACATCGGGACAGTAGTCGGCCGTACCCCTGCCTAATTCCCCTGTCTGATTCCCCTCGAATAACTCACACTGAGCGGCACATCGGGACAGTAGTCGGCCGTACCCCTGCCTAATTCCCCTGTCTGATTCCCCTCGAATAACTCACACTGAGCGGCACATCGGGACAGTAGTCGGCCGTACCCCTGCCTAATTCCCCTGTCTGATTCCCCTCGAATAACTCACACTGAGCGGCACATCGGGACAGTAGTCGGCCGTACCCCTGCCTAATTCCCCTGTCTGATTCCCCTCGAATAACTCACACTGAGCGGCACATCGGGACAGTAGTCGGCCGTACCCCTGCCTAATTCCCCTGTCTGATTCCCCTCGAATAACTCACACTGAGCGGCACATCGGGACAGTAGTCGGCCGTATCCCTGTCTAACTCCCCCTATCTAACTCTCCTCTGTATAACTCACACTGAGCGGTACGTCGGGACAGTAGTCGGCCGTACCCCTGCCTAATTCCCCTGTCTGATTCCCCTCGAATAACTCACACTGAGCGGCACATCGGGACAGTAGTCGGCCGTACCCCTGCCTAATTCCCCTGTCTGATTCCCCTCGAATAACTCACACTGAGCGGCACATCGGGACAGTAGTCGGCCGTACCCCTGCCTAATTCCCCTGTCTGATTCCCCTCGAATAACTCACACTGAGCGGCACATCGGGACAGTAGTCGGCCGTATCCCTGTCTAACTCCCCCTATCTAACTCTCCTCTGTATAACTCACACTGAGCGGTACGTCGGGACAGTAGTCGGCCGTACCCCTGCCTAATTCCCCTGTCTGATTCCCCTCGAATAACTCACACTGAGCGGCACGTCGGGACAGTAGTCGGACGTGTCCCTGTCTCACTCCCCCTGTATCTGTATAACTCACACTGAGCGGCACATCGGGACAGACGTCTGCCGTGTCTCTGTCTCACTCCCCCTGTATCTGTATAACTCACACTGAGCGGTACATCGGGACAGTAGTCGGCCGTATCCCTGTCGTTATCGTAGTCGTAGTCGGCCACGCTGCCATCCAGGTCCACCTGAGACTGGGAGTCGGCAGCCGCCGCCAGGTCCCGTACGATACGCATGTCCGGGCGCAGGAATAACCTGCCAACGAGCGGGAGGAAGGGCGATGGGTGTGAGTGAACTCTGTACAAAGATCAATTGAAAGATCGCGAGTCATTATCGACGGATGAGACTGTGGTCACGATTGTGACTGCCCTGATGCTCACACAACAATATAGCGTTCAAATATCTCACCCAGAGAATATATTGTTCACACCATTTTGTCTGAGTTCACACGTTACACCCATGGATAGTGACATTCCATACATCAACAAAACGGTTTCGCTGAAATATAAAAAATAAAGCTTCCCCGCGGTCCGCCGAAATCAGCAGACCACCTGTGAAAATACCCTACCCTCCCACTTGGCGTGTTAAGGTGGGGGTGTTCGGCTTTTAAACGAGGCACAAAGTTGCCAAACAAGTGTATCATGAACGCCGTAACTTTGAAGCGAATACGGACCGCGCCCCAGAGAGTCAGCGAATGGCTTTACGGTCGATCGCGGGGCTATTCGTCCGGTCAGGAGCGATGATATCTGACGAAGCAGGCCGGTCGCCCAGGGCACCAATGGAAGGTAGTCTGTAGCTGGCTCAACATGATCACATTTGGAAATTAAGATGAACTTCATCTTTCGCCCCTTAAAATGTCCATAAAGCATAAATAAAAATTATTTGCATCAACTCTGATCAGTAGAAGACATCACCAATGATAATGTCCAGGAAAACATCAATACCATTACATGACCAGTTAAATGGAGAGTTGCGGAGTGAGGATGGACGTACGGCCGGCATCTTCCTCCACCAAACATGCAACACTCCGAGTTTGATATGTAGATCCATAGACTTTATATCGAGGTCGAAAGTAGATCAAGGTAGAACGAAATACGAATAAAAAAGAAGAGCCTACTCAACATGTAACGCCCCGGGGAAAGTGGCATAAATCGAGAATTGTGATGCGAACGCACACAGAGTCAACAGATGAAAGATGGAATCGGCCGCCTTGGGAAAAAAAGGCCACAACGCAGGCCCCAGCAGACTTCAAATAGATGCATATCCGACCACGGAACTAGTGAAATAATGCATCACACTCAACAGCCGTAGTTTCAGAAAGGTGTACGGTTTTCTGGCAAGGAAAGCAATAATCTGACCCACCCCATTGATAGCAGCTATTGAGCCTATTGGACGCATCCTTACTATTGGACATATCCTTGTCCAATATTTTTTCCTCGTCCGTCACAGCTTTAAAAACTGTTACATACCACCTATAACTCGTTATACTGAATGGCATAAAAACGGCTTCGTTTCGGCTCTGTAGACGGATGTCAAAGCCTGAAACGCTGAGCGGCCGGCTGAGACCCGGAGTTGGCCACGCCAGCGTTCATATTGCTCTTGAATTCACGCTTCCCGGGTCATCGCATTGTAGCTTCTCCTAGAAGCGATGATCCCGTGCACACCTGAATACCAGACGGGTCTGTCGACATGGTACAGCAAGTGAGATGCGAGGTTTATTAGAGAACGGGTGTAACCGTGCGCCAATCCAATGCATCCCTCGTCGGCACCTGCATTCGCTTAAAAAAAAAAAAACAAATCAAGTTTATCTTGGCGTGCCAAACAGATACTCGGCAAAAGTCTGTTCCGAAAACGCATATGCGCACATCATCTCCGACAGAGAAACAGCCTGCCGACAACTCTTCAAATTGGCTACGAACGGCGAAGAAGGGTGTGTAAAGCTGCCAGAGGATGTGGACCAGCCCCCTGGGACCTCTCCACCACCCCGGGCGTCGTCATCTCTCGTTCACAGCCGCTGCGCCACCAGAGACGATTCCATCCGGACGGGGCGCTCCGAATTGTGCCCCGATGGCCGCGGATGTCGCCAAATGTGACAAAACCAGCTGAGTCGGCGGGCGGCGTCCGGTGTCGGTCGGGGGAACAGTCGGGCCGCCGCCGGCCAGTTCACCCCTCCCCCTCCCGACTGAGAATCAGCCCCCCCCCCCCCCGCCGTGGGCCGGCTGAATCCATCCGGTCCAATCGGCCCGATCAGTCGACAGAATGACGCCGGGAGGCGGCGGCCCGTGGGCGGCCGGCCGGCGTGGGAGCCGAGCGCCGCGCACGGACCGGCCCGGCGGCAGCCGTGTGTATTTAGCCGACTCGGCGGCTGAATGTGACGACTGAAAACCCTTCAGTGCGCCAGTCGGACCGACAAGACAGCCGTGTCAATAAGTGGTTCGACGGAGAGTCCCCAAGGAGACACCGGAGACACTCGGAGACACTAGGAGAGACGGTGGCCGACGGCGGCCCTCTCCGCGCCCGAGGAGCCCCCCCGGGGGCGCGGCCGGAGAGGTCGACATTTTCAGCGCGGCCGTAGATCAGTCCAAACGGCAGAACGCTGATAGAGGAGCTTAGCTCATCTCCAACCAGACAAAGATCCGTGAAATAACGCCGACGTGAGGCAGGTAGACGCCAACGCGCCACTTCCGATAGTTTGCTCTAAAATATATCCGCTGGGGCACCCAGGGCAACGACTGCAACCGATTCCGCATATTGCAACAGCGAAAGCCATGAGAATCAACCACAGAAGAGCAGCTGACAAATGTAATGATGCAATCCATCGGACGCAATCGTATGCAACCATGCCACCGGAATCTACTCAAAGTCTGACGATATCAAGCCCGGTGACGGTGTATTGCCGATCGGTCTGAAGAAAGACATTCGTCCCGTACCGTGACCGAGTGGATCCCCCACAATACCGTCACGAATAAGTAAGCTTTGAGCAGCTACTCCTTCAATGTCAGACCCCAGCGAGCTACAGTAATGAGCCCATTTCCGTGTCCTGTGAGCAAATGCGGTAATCCGAGACGGTCGATGGTACGATCTCTAAAGATAAGACATTCATGTTTTCATGTCGACACTGGCACGGGCTACAGGCACGACACTACGGGCACGACACTCCCTGCTGTCAGAATGGTAACAAACTACGAGACACAGGGCCATGCCATTTGTTGTCTTCTAAATTGTGGGCTTCACAACCAAATATTTGGAATTTCCCATTTCGGAACAGAATGTTAACAGCATCAGACATCGATCCTCTTTACAAGAAATTATACTTCTTTACTCTCTTTACGAGTCGAACACACCGCCGCATGAGCCGGTAATTATTATTCCAGAATTACGTTCCTCACCTATGTAACCCCCTTCACCTGAATTCGTCGCAGATCCGTCACAATGCGTTTCACTCGGGTGTTTTCAGACTATCGCCGGTATGATGAGCAAACTTTCGCGGCACCCCATCGCACCGCGACCCGCAGCTCCCGCGCGGGCGTTCGAGACCGTGCGTCACTCGCAGCGGGGAGCGACACTGGCAGCGGAATGGGGCGGCTCAGTGAACGGGCGGCGACGCGGCGGGACTCCATACCTCGCCACCGCCGCCCGGCGCGCGACAAAAGTCACAATCTAATTACGTACGGAGATAGCCGGCAACCGGCGCCGACCCGCCGCAGAACTATGTGCGAGTCAGTACCGACCGGCCGCTGGCAGCTGAAACAGTCACTCCGACCAGCCGGCCCCACCTGAGAAGGAGCGCACGCAGACGGTTCTGAGACGGAGCAACAGCTCCATCAAGAGAAACGCGCACAACTTCAGCTTTAGGAAAGTCACCGGCTCCCTGGTGCTCCTATGACGTCTGTTTGGAACAGCGCGAGGAATGTCTGAAATAACGCGGGGCGGAACAAAACTCATGACCTTACTTATCCGCTAGAGTATCGAGAGCAATTGATAGAAATTGATATTTTCGCCTATACGCTGAGCAATGTAGCCGCATCCGCTCCACGATATATAACTGCACCAGCTGCCTCTTCCAGCAATGTCCTCCTTTTGCACCACGCGCGATGAGATATGTGGCAGTTAAACAGCAAATGTTGTTTGTTAGTCCACACAGTTATCGATGTAACGAGTTTCTCCCTGGACGTCAAAGCGATGTAGAGTGACAAACGACCGGGTGGGTCTTGCACACAGCTACCCCTGCCCCAAACAGTCGGCTGACGCCGCAGCTTCCCGCATCTCTAATGCCCACCGCACGAAGATTTATGACCCCGGGAGCCGAGAGCGAATCGGCGGCACGGGGAGACGCGGAAAGCCGAGGGATTAGTTCAGTCTAGAGAAGGACGAGCGACTGTGAAATATTACAATCACAACTCCCGGGACAGTCCGAGTCGGCGCGCACAAGCTGTTTGGCGCTCTAGGCTGTAGTAGATTCTCTCTAACGAAATGGAACAGATTAAACGCAAATAATGTTTCGCAGCTTCGCAACGGCGAAGAGTTCTGATTAATCCATCACTGCGTAAAAATGATCGGTAAACACAACCACTACGCCGTTCCGACTTCAGCGAGCATTTGCAGTCTTCTCCAAATACGGAAAACTGACTGTAGTTACGGGAAAAATAAATCTGCGTATACATCTTCATCGGTTTGAAATTCGTTATCCGAATGGAACTATGAATGTTCATGTTGAATCAACGCAAAGCGGCAACAGACATCGAATGCAGTGAACATTTCCTCAATGACGTTGCATCCAGTCAATGATGACCTCTAGTTCGCTTTCACCCTAACTTGCTCTTTAAACAGGCTGGCCTCAAAATCTAAGCCCCTCTCCTTCACTCCAACACACTTGAACAGGCACGCCGCCCCCCTCTTCCTCACTCTAACTCACTTGAAGAGGCTGGCCACGTCGTAGTGCAGGTCCTCGGGCAGCGTGGTCTTCTCGTCACTCCATTTTTTCATGGTGGCCTGTTTGAGCTGGGTGGCCTTCTTGGGCACGGCAAAGGCCGCCTTCCAGTCCACCTCCACGTCGTAGTCGAACGGCTCGATCTCTTTGCGCCGGCGGCGGCGGCCCGGCTCGGCGGGAGCGGTTGGCCGCGCTGCAGGGGCACACGGCAGGGACGGTCAGACAAGGGGAGGCACTGAATAGAGGCGACCGGACTCAAAACTACAGACTATATCTAAAAGTATTCCCGGCAATAGATGTGGGCTAATGTTAACGAGTGCGTAAGCGTGTGAGTGAATGTATCCGTTAGAGTTTAATCGACCGAAAATTAACACTTAACTGGTGTCTGGTGAAGCTCATTAAATTGCACCAATGACACGCCATAGAGATGTCAACATATAAAATAGTACACAAAGAACATTGCATCCCAGCCACCCATCCGTGCCCTCTCCCAGCATAGCCCTCATTCAACTCTCACCGGCTCCGGCGGGCAGACGCGGCTTCCAGTGCCGCGGTCCGGCCCAGGCCAGCAGGCGCGGCTGGTCAAAGTAGCTGTACTCCTGCGGCACCGCGGACACCATGCTGACGAGGGTGGGCCGCTCGGCGGGCCGGCAGCCGGCGCCGCCGACCGTCACCAGCGTGTCGCCGCCGCCGCCGCCGTCGGCGCCGTCATCGCAGTCGTCATCCATCCCTGATGGAGGAGGGGAGGGTTAGAGAATCCGTCATCCATCCCTGACGGAGGAAAGGAGTGAATCAGTGAACGGAATGAAGTCAGCATAGAATTAACAGCCGGGGAGGTAGTCAGGATATTGTTATTAGTGGATACTGGACAGCGAAGTGAGAAAAGAGGCATTGAAAGGAGCGGAGGCGAAGCGTAATATTTGTCTGAGTCGAGAAAAGCGGTGGCAAGAAGTGGTCCAAATCGTGTCTGCTGTTTTCAGGCGTGCCAGGCAAAGGAATAGGCACGCAAACAGCTCATTTTCAAGAGAAACATTAGTGAGTCGACCACAAGGTCAGTGACCTCGCAAGGTGCGAGAGCCTTATGTGACAACTGCCAGCTGCAGTACTTTAAACTGATACAGCACGCTGCACATCATTATCATACACTTTTCTCCGTATCGCGCCACCAAACCTGAGTTTCCCACGCAAAGCCAGTCACCAACTCCGCAGTGCTGATTGCGGTTCGTGTCTGGCACCGTTCCGAGCAGCAATGACCGACCCGGCGCTGCTAAAAACAACACGTCACGGACGGCGGCAGGTCGGCACCCACGGCCGTCCGGGCTCGATCAGACAGTTTGTCACAGGGAACAATCAATGTCGTCTGGTGCGTTCGTGACTGGGCATGACCATCCCCAATCTGTCTTACAGTGACCCACACTGTCGATTATTGTGACCCCTCCCCACCCGCAGGTAATATGGGTCACACGCACCCACTACAGACCGGCAGGGGCGCGACCAAACGATGATTGTTATCGCCCGGTGGTGTATAGTACGGCACCTTCTCACGATATTGCCTATTCGGTCTCCGTATGAGACATTGTGAAGCCCGGCCACAGCCACTGTGAGCCGACACTCGCCGCCAGCCAACCTCCTTGGTTCTTTGCTGTTCGCAGGGTCACCTGCTCACTCCGATTGCACTAAAATGTCCGCCTGTTAAAACATTTAACGGCTTGCTCGTCCAGCTGTCTGCTCGTCTATCCGTCCGTCCGTCCGTCATTATATCCGCCCGTCCGTCTCGTCCGTCGTTCTGTATATCGGGCCGTCCGTCTCCTCCCGTCCCGTCCCGTCCAACCGTACGTCGTTCTGTATATCCGCCCGTCCCGTCTCCTCCCGTCCCGTCCCGTCCCGTCCCGTCCCGTCCCGTCCCGTCCCGTCCCATCCCATCCCATCCCATCCCATCCCATCCCATCCCATCCCATCCCGTCCCGTCCCGTCCCGTCCGTCGTTCTGTATATCGGGCCGTTCGTCTGTCCCTCGATCTGTCCCTCCATCGAGCGCCGGTCGCCTGCATCGTCGTCAGACCGTAACGGGGCCGCACACGGGTCGCACCGGCCACCGGCCGACCAATGCGTCACGCGGCCGGCCGTGACGGCGTTACTCAGTATCGACAGCCGACGCCGCCCGTTATGGGTCAGCCGGGGCGCGGCAGTGGGCGGGCAGGAATGAGGTGTATTGTGCACGGCACGGAACCGTTGACACAACTGTTGACACAAGTGTTGACACAGAGCTGTGAAGACAGGACCGTGGGCGACCACGGACGGACTTAGAATGACCAACTCAGAGTGGAAAATAACTAAAATGAGCCCAGTTCTGTTATTGTGCCCTGTATCAGAAAATGGCTCTTTTCTTAGGTACTCGCTCAACCGTGCCTAGTGACCCAACGACCGATGACTTGTTGATGACGGCACCGCCATGGTGCCGCAAAATATACCAATCAATTTGTTACATAGCTGAATCAGTCATAAAATACAACATCAAATGTCGTAGGCATGTGCAACATCATAACGTTGATTACATCCTGTGTGTCGATTAGCAATGTCTCGTTCCAACACCCAAAACTAGCATGTCTGTGTTTCCTCTGATACGGACCTATCCCTACGGGGCCAGCGCCATCGGTTACTTACCTCCAAACATGGGATCCTCCTCGGCTATGGGGCTGTGCGGCGGGGCGTTCATATCGAACCTGAAACCGATACAAAACAGCAGCGGTCAATTCAGCATTCAGACGTGGACTACCGAACAGTTCGTTACCATGCCGAAAACGAATACCAAGTAAACCGCGAAAACAAAGTTTCACAGTGAGCTAAAGCATCCAGCAAAACTGTCCATATCTCGCCACTGGTAATTCCGTCAGCAGCTATTAGCGAAGCTTGAGACTGCCAGCGGTGAATGACAGCACTGCGCGGACGGTCCGAGAGACAGAGCTCAGATGTAGCGCCGGTACCAACGGCGGGAATACTGCCACAGCGACATGTGGGCGGCAGCTGCGGCCTACCGCAACTGAGTGGAGACTGGCCTCACTTCTGGCGCTAATGACAGAACAGGAGAAATTACCAGAACAAAAATACAGGAAGAGGAAGAAAAGAAAGGGAAGCTATGAGCGGTCATGACGAGCATTTCTCAGAACATACCGACTAAAACACCGAAGTATACAAACATCAGCTATGTGGAGAGTTATAGCAGTAATTTCACGTAAGCGACGACTCAGCGCCCTAACTGCATGACTGCGCCCTAACCCTTGCTCCATGACTGTCCCGCACCTGTGTCGAGGGTCGGCTGGCGGCGGCGCGGGCGGCGGCGGCATCTCCATCCGCTCGTTATCCTGCTCCTGATCCACGCTCCAAGAGGTGAAGGAGAACCTCTCCAGGGGCGGGCACAGCACCCGCTCCTCCGCCGCTGTCGGGCATGGCCAAACCGTCAGAGGTCATATACAACGCAAAATGGAGGTCGGAGACGCCATGGCGACAGGCTGTGGGTGGACAGTGACGAATAAAAGCAATTATCTGTTAGTGGAAACCGGATAGAGATTAGGAACATAATAGATAGCTCTTACATATTCAATTATGATAGGATAGGACCGCAGATTATTTACAAGAACCCGCAAGAGGATCATCGTTTGGAAAATGTGGCGATTCCGTGTGCGAATAAGCCATGGAAGCCTACTCAAAACTGATGAACTATACCGACGAATCTCCCGCACAGTTATCCATAAGTAAACAGCATACGAAGTTAGCCCCACGAAATTGTCATAGAGACCGTCTGCGCCCGCCCCCGGCACCCACCGGGCACGGTGACGGCGGGCGGCTGCTGCTCGGGCGGCTCCGGCGCGGCGGTGGCGGCGGCCGGACGACCCTCGCCGTCCACCATCAGCTCCTGGCCGTCGTCCCGGGTCCAGAGCAGGCTGAGGAAGGCGGCGCAGCCGGGTCGGCCGTCCTCGGCGGCTGCCCAGGGCGTCCGGCCGGCGCCGGCGACGGCCGCCGCGCCGCCCGACCGGCCCGTGATCGCCGCCAGGTTACTGCGCACCGTGGCCATACGACGCGTCTGATGGAGGGGGGGGGGGGGTGTCAGAGGGAGCAGGGTGAAGGACTGAGACTGAATGCACAGACGCCGGGAACGGGCGGTCTGCTATACACCGGGCACACATGGCACATTTCGGTGACTTTAACATCAGCGAAATCCATCGAGTGAAAACAGTACCTATTCGAATCGAGGCATTACAAGCTCACCACATAAGTCATCCCCAATAGAATATCTCACACCCTGCAGCCCAAACACGCCGCACCCCTCACCTTTCTGCGTCGTTTGTCGGCGCCGGGCGCGGCCCCGTCGTCCCCGGCCGGCGCGTCGCCGTCCTCCTTGGGTTTTCCGTCGGCTCGGCCCAGCCCGCCGGCCATGCGCAGCGTCTCCCCGTGCAGCGCCTCCACGCGGTAGCCGTAGATCTTGGCCGAGGCATCCAGGGTGTAGCTGGCCACCTGGCACGGCGGTGACGCGGGTCAGAGGCGGGTCGAAGGGGAGTATGGGGAAGGATGGAACTGAGTGTCTAGCGATCGTACGCTTTCCTCGGCAGAATGCAGAAACGCAATTCATTCAACACTGCATTGACAGAATATTAAGATGCTGACAAGTTCAGTAATTAAAAAGAAATTGCAGTTCACGTGCTCCAGTTTGAAAATGACGGTGTAGATACGGAGATCATTCGATCTGGCGATCAGTTGTCAAGTCCAAACATATCGCTACGTTTTGACATAGCCCCGTTTCTAGATGACAGGATGCCAGTCACTTTAACCCTCGCCCGTAAACGGCGATCTGCCACCTTCGCCCATGCAGGGGGGGGGGTTGGTGCGACCCCCCCCCTTGGCGTTTGAAAACGGAGCGTCGTAGAGCTTAGCGGAAAAGACCAACGGATTGCTCTCGCCGAGATCTCGCGATTGGTGGTATATTTTTTGGTCCTAGGTCAACATTTGACCTACTTTTGACCGGTCAAAGGTCAAATTTTCGGAAAAATAGACTTTTTTCAACTTTCCGCGGCGATTGCGGCAAAACGGTGGGAGATATCGACTTGAAACCTTCACTATCGTGTTCCTTGATCAATTCTCTATCGTTTGGTATGTATTTCGTTTCCCTAGCTCTAAAAATGGCGCGTTGGGAGCGCCGGAAGTCGGCAAGGTCACAGTCGGCGGCAGAAATTCGAAAAATCAAAATTTAATTTTTTGAAATCTGATTGTATTTTTGGATTTGGGAGGTCCATTTGCTCCCTATAGAAGCTAATATTGCTGCATATTCCCATTGAGGTGACAAGAATGAGCAAAATAGTGGTTCGGGCGCTTTTCAAAAATAGTACCGGACGCTGTTCCTCTTGTGACGTCATAACTCCGTGACCTGACCTGACCCGGTCAAGTTTCTTATACCATATGATAGCCAATACTTGCCCCAACATGCATGGGAAGTTTCATCACGATCCATCAACCGATGTCCGTACCACCGGCAGGAAACCTCGGGCGTTGGCACTCAGTTTGTGAAAATCCGGCCGGAGGCTGTTCCCTTTGTGACGTCATAACTCCGTGACCTGACATGACCCGGTCAAATTTTTTTTATCAAAAGATGCGCAAGGTTTGCCCCATAAGGTACCCAAAATTTGGCGGCGCTGCGCGCCGCCGTTTTTGCACTATTTCCGAAAAACCTCAGGGGGGGGGGTTGCACCAACCCCCCCCCCCCCTACATGGGCGAGGGTTAAGTCGCGGCCTCCGCCCTGCCCACTATCCACAGTCTCCCTCCTTACCTGAAAGTTATCCAGGTCCGACTTCTTCTGTCGCATCATCTGTGCCATGCAGTCGATGAGCTGCAGGCTGAAGGCGTTCTTGGTGTTGATTTTGTTTTCGGCGCTGAGTTTGACGCAGCTGGCATAGTGGGCCGCCAGCTGGCCGTGGCTGAGGCCGGCGATGCCGGGCAGCGAGCGGCGCCGGTCGGCGGCCGCCTGCTGCTGCTGCTCCTGGCGCCGCTCCGCCTCCTCATCGTGCTGCACAGGGGAGGCCGGGTAATGGTCAGAGACGATTGACGGGACAGACAACGGGAGAGGTCAAAGATGGCAAAAAGCACGACTCAGTTTAGAAGTAATTTCCTAGCATAAACTTTACTGGGTAGGATACAAGCTTCAGGTAAATAATCAGCTTTGCTCAACTGAGCTAAAAATATCATCAAAAAGAGCTAATTCCTGGCTCAGTTTCTCCTCCCTCCTCGCGCCGTCGTACCTGCGGAATGTCGAAGGGCTCCACCTCCGGCGCGGCGCCGCGGCTGCTGCGCCGGCCCTGCGGCGACCGTTTGCCCGCCGAGCCGGCCGCCGCCGCCGACAGGCTGCGCCGCATCGCCGGCGACGTGAAGAGCGCGCTCCGGCGGCGCGGCTCCGATGCCACGTCCGTGCCCATCGCTGCCGACTCTCAGGACTGGTCCGTGAGCCTGCGGTGAGGGGGCGGTGGAAGGTGGATGTATCAGGTCCGTGAGCCTGCAGTGAGGGGGCGGTGGAGGGTAGATGCATCAGACCTGTAGAATGAAAAGTGATGGTCATACAATTCTGAGATTGTTTCCGCTGGAGATGAGAGTGAAACTAGGAACAGAACTAAGGATGGAGTTTAGGAGCTTTGGGTTGGATTTCCACATCAATTTGTGAAAAAAATGTCATCAGAGGTAGAGGCAAGTGTATAATAGATGCAGATTACAAACCTATCTCCGGTCATTCTGAAAAGTATGCCACCATCACATACCTATCTATTATGAATGAGGTCAGAGGTTGGGCTGGATGTTTATTAGTGATCCACAAAATAGCTCGGTGTGTTGCAGCTTGCACGAATACACATGGGTAAAAATTATAGATTTTGGATGAAGCAGTGTAGGCCTAACTGCATTGCAATGCTGAGCTATGGCAGTGGTGCTGCACTTCCTAAGATAGTTTGATATTAGAATCTGGGGGAACCACCAGACAGAAGGCAGATATGAGCATTGAGCAGCTGTTCACTCAGTAAATGGATGAGCTGCATCAGCAATTTCAAACTCAGTGAAAGTGTGAGACCCTAAAGTCTGTGGTGCAAATTTAAAGGTTGTTTCTGGTGAAGGCTGAGCAGATTACCAATCAGATTTATGCAGGGTAATGCAGTGCATTTGTTCTCTGCAACCACGCCACACAAGTTAGATCGAAAAGTAATTTTCACTTAATAAGTTAATAGCCAAATATTACGAAGGTCATAACTTAGTGGAACAGTAGGTATGTTATAAGCTGTAATCGCCATGCCATATGTGGAAGGCTTTTGAAGTCAATACATACATACATACATTAATACATATAAAATGATAGGTAGACAATATAGGTAAACAATATAAACCTTGAAAGTACAAAGCACCTAGGTCATCTTCCTGTCTCCTACAATCACAAAAATTATAACCAATGCCCTTACATCACACATTTTAGAATGACCACTGTTTGGTTGCCTTTTTCATCAGCAGGCTGGCAGGCAGCAGATCGAGACTCGCTATTCGCTAGCAAGTTTCTCATTGATTGAATTTGTGTGATCTGTGCAGTTCATCAATGAAAAACCACAAAATTCTAGCAATGAAATTCCATATTGATACATAGGAAAACCAGCAACATGCTGATAAAGCACACCAAACAGCAAACGCCAAACAGTGACATGGTTTAATCACGATACCTTAGTAAACACAAAAACAGCATCATGAATTGGTCACGGAAAATAAAAATGCAATAGACAATCATAAAATGTAATGTATCAGAGACTGAGACATGATGAATACAAAGGCCATCAAGTCCCAAGATGTCATAACAACCACATTCTGATTCACACTCACCAACTCAAAGTTGAACTCCAATTCAGTATCAATTCAAAGCCGCTTAGAAAGTAAAAGAGAAATCATTATTTGCTAATAATCTCAATATGCAGCCTTGGGCTCAAATACCAAATAGGCATCACCAATACACCAAAATTAAATATCGTTTTCAATCATTATAATACACGGTGACGGTCGCACACAGAGGCGTTGCGATTCGTGCGAAATATCGCGCCAGAATGACAACACGATTGTGATTCAAAATGGTTGCAAAATCAAGAACTTTAAAAATGTATCAAGTAGAAAGCGACCACTAATTAGAAAGTATACAAATCGCATGCTGTGAACAGCAGTCATATTTCAGTTTTCGACCAAAACTATGTCCTGTGTGCCACAACATTATCATTATTGTCACATAACGACGTCTTTGAACTGCAATTTGCTAAAGAATCACATGCAAAATAAGCCAAACTGTTTCCAAGCTGAATTACAGCCGGCTTCAGCCGGCCTCGGTAATCGGGCTTTCACTGCCTTCCCAGTTCCCGCCTTCCGGGTAATGAGTCCGACATTGCGACGCTCTGGCATGCGATGCAAGCATTTCTTCCTTTGGTAAAGACGAGGAACTACAGGCAAATGGTATCAGACATCAGTACGTGGATGGCCGGATCTGTCTTCGTGATCGATAATTCCGGACTACTTAGGTAGGTACCTAATATTTGCAACAGTTACCGTTACTACACGGGATTTCATTACAGGACGGAAGGGCCTGAGGTTCCATTCACCTTATACCTACGTCCTACGCTGAATAGCTAGTATGATCGCGAGCGCGCTTCTTGTATTCCTTAGTTTGTATACCAGGGAAACTGAAAGCTACGTCAGAACTCCCCATAATGAAACAACATACACATTCGACCGTATTTATTTGGGTGTAGGACAAACATGATTATGGGTTGTGTTGTCAAAGCGGTCACCGCCTATGTCTCGTAGATGATACCATGTGGGCTGCGAAGAGAATTAAACGGTCACATTGGAAGATGTGCCCACAGTATCTGATTGAGGGTGCTCTCCCATCTGCAGTAGGATAATGAAGTACGTCATAATAAATCCGAAAACCTGAAACACATGAGAATATGTTATAATATTAATATGCAGTAGCCAGACATCGATTCATTTAGGGGATTCACAATAATAGGTAGTGACTAGTGAGACAGCTATAACTGCAACGAATCAACTATGAACTAGAGCATGTTACCATGCGTTAATTGATGATGTATTATAAAGCGTGCTAGTGCAAAATAAGCTGTTATGTGTATCATAGAATCAATTATTTTGAATCACGGCGTGTTCTTCGAATAACATTTCGGAAAGCGCCTTTCTCGGAATTCTTACCGCAAGAATGTTGCTTTTCTCAATTATGAAAAACCCCATTGCCGTGACATTGAATGGAAGCTTGACGATCTGTAAGAAAGCCTTCTTCTGACGCCTGTCTGCTTTAGACACGACGCTCCAATCCATCGTCGTGAGCGTTTCCGCCAGCGCTGCATTCTGAAAACAATTATGCATTGTTGGAATAAGAAAAGTTTTGACCTTAAACGGCGTTTAAACGTTTTTCTCAGACCCCTGCATGTGTCGCCATTCAAACAATATTGTTAAATGGTAACCGGTGGGGTAGTTTTTGGCAATGGTAAGTGTTTGTCATTGTTTGTGGCTTGACCCAAGACCTTGTAAATTTGTCTAGGTACATAAAGGATCAAGAAATGCTAGGTACACATATTTTTTCTTATGCGCATCGCATTCCTCAAGCATGCACGCTCAGGGGACATATAAGCACTAAGTATAGGTAAATACCTGCAGTACATACATACCGGTATGTCTGTCAGGTAAGATTAGGTCAAGTGGCACGTCTGACCTTTTCCGTAATGTCTGAGCCGTAGACCGAATAGGCGATCACACGCCAGAGAAACAGTATGATATAAACCGTGTAAGACGCCACCTTCGTGTGGGCTCCGAGGTCATCGAACGCCGAAACATTCGAAAGCTGTAAAAAGAGTGATTCGGTTAGCCGGTCGTTAAATTGAGAATGTTTCTTCGCACACCACTACGAACGGTCACACAAACGTACAAATCACGAACGGTGTCACTGAAAATCGCTAACTCTGGAGGATGGTGACACGGTACGGTTGATGACGTCACCTACCACGACGCTGGCGTAGGCACTGGTGACGATGTTGATCAGCGACGCGGCGTAGCAGCCGAACAGCGGCAGTCCACACAGGCCGTTCAGCCGGGCTAACAGCCTGCGAGACGATAAACGGGTGGGGCAGGACTTGTGAATAACGCAGACTAATGTATAACGTCTACATCCCATGTTTACGGGTTATTCTAAACATTAAGCTGCAATTTCATTGCACAAAATTTGGCATACATTAGAAGGCAATGGTAGCCCACAGTGCAGTGTCAACACACGGCGGTGGCGGCACTGACCGGCGAATGTCGCTGTAGTACTCCTCCGCTGCCGCCAGCCTTTCGCCGTCGCTCATTGGGCCGTCTCCGACCGACTGTGACGTCACCACACCGGGCGCCGCCATCTTGACACGCTGACCCCAGTTCTTCGTGACTCTTTTCTCACGGCCTCGCTTCTCATCTTGATTGGGAGAGACTTGTCGATTAGAGCGCAGAAGAGTCAGGTTAAACAGCGTCCCATCGGCCAACTGTGACGCTTTGTTCTTTGCGTCACCTCCAACCTCGGTGGAAAGGTCAAGGTCAAGGTCAAGGTCAGGTTCAGTGTGCACCTTGCAGGTCAGGCTGGTCCGAGTGACGGTCCCGCCAGACGAGGGGTCCAGCTGCTCTCGAAGCACGGTCAGATGGAAGCTGATCGCACTCAGCCAAATGAAAAGGCACACGTCGAATGTTGCTGTCAAGCAGCAAGTGAAAATCACCACGATAACCTGCAAAAGGACGGGGTTATGTTTGAGCATTCAAGCAACGGCTCGCAGCGGCAGGCGCAAGTCGTTCAGTTTTATATCAGCACTAGCCACGAATCATATATGTAGGTCACGACACTAAAGAAAATGACGAGAAATTTTAAAAATGCCGCAGGGATAGTCGAAATAAGATAAACACAACAAAGGCAAACATGCCACAGCTTAGTTACAACTTGGATACCACAATCAATAAAAACAGACCGACGGTAGCTCGTGTTATCACCTGGAATCCGAAGATGCACCAGTAGCCGGTCGGGTTTCGCAGCCCCTCGGGCACATACACCACTGCCAGGTATCTGGGGTGACGGTACTCCCCGGGCACCAGCACAAAGCAGAGCCACAGCACGAGCACAGCAGCGGACAGCAGCACGATCAGGGAGCACTGCAGCAGCAGGCGGCGACGGTCCGGGCGCCGCGGCACCCGCACACGGCCGTACAGCGACTCCAGGCCCAGCGAGATCGCCTCCAGACTGCGGCACGACCGACGGGGGATGTGGTGAGCAGCAGGGACACTTCCAGTTGTCAAAGTGTGACGGTTGGCTCCTGTTTTCCACAGCAATGAATGTAAATGCGCGCGTAATGTAATGCGGTACAGCATAAATTCAGGCGCCGACTACTAGCGACATCTGTTGGCAGGAATACAAGAAGCCCTACTCCAGCGTGAAATCGTGACACAGTCGATTCGTACTAGTCCCTCGCTGCTCAGTCGCCAACGAAGCAAGGTGTATTGAACACAGTTATGTTTTGATTGAACCGACACTTGACTCGAGCCCTAAGCTTGACAGCGACGCCGTAAATAAGACAATAAACAAAGTATCGCTATCAGCGCTCATCTCATAAAACCTGGCACTTTCACCGCGTCGGCCTGTTCACTCACTCGCTGTTCCGGCGCAGCATGAGCAGCACGAGCAGCGCCTGCAGAATGTAGCCGTGTTCGGAGACGGCCTCACTCCAGAGCAGCAGGCTGAGTCGCTCCAGCGGCAGCAGGGCGGCGCCCAGCAGGGTGACCGCCAGCAGGGCGCCCGGGACCAGCCGCAGCAGACGGGCCGGCAGCGACGCGCGCCGCTCGTACAGCGCCGAGAGCGTCAGCCAGCCGCAGAGGGTTAGAGAGAGCCGCAGGGTGCGGGCGAACAGGCACCGCGAGACGGCCATCCTGCGGCCGGCGGGGGAGAGAAATGGACAGGGTGACCGAAGTAGGGATGAGCAGCTAACGACCGCTAACGGGCGATGATCTTGATAAATGGAACGGACTAATGGAACTAGAAAGAAAGTCAACGGAAATCACTTGCATGTGCTTGTCATGAATATAGCCACCGTGCAATAGGTTTGCATGTCCAAAGACATTTGCTTGGTTTTTACCTACTTCACTGAATTCCTTGAATCATCAGGCACCAACTATGTATGTGCTCATGAGCCGGAACATTTTGTCCTTTGATGTAGGTCTACGTCTATATGTAATGCTGGTAAATGGGCCAGCGAATAATTAGGTACGAGATTATTCATTCCCGTGACGTTCCGACCTGCATAATTTTTTCTGACAGACACTTGAATCACTAGCGCAAATATTAGATTTAGATTGTTCCGGTTCTGCCTATACGGCAAGCGTTTCTTGAGTGGCAATGCCGAAATTATATTTTTACTATGTACACATCCGCATATCGAGTCACTCCATTTGACGACGAAACTGTTTAAGCTGCAACAAAAGCCCGACAAACGAACAATATTACACAGACAGATTTGAAGAAATTGTAGCACGCTACATCTTGAACATTTAACGTAGTATCTTTTCGGCACGGCTCGGTCCGGCAGTCCCTCTCCCTCGCAGTCCGGCCACACGCCTAGCTCGCTTTCCCACACCCAATTCCCCCCCCCCCCCAGTTCCCCTAATCTATCACTGTCCGCACAGAATGGGCAGCCGTTAAACTCCCATTAAGACGCGCGCTTTTGGAGACAGCTACCGCAGGATGAACGATTCGAACCCCAACAAGTAACAGCTGGATCAGTAACATTGTCAACAGCTCATGGACCCACGCCGAGGACAGATAACGGCTGGGAGCGCTGGATCAGTAAGATATGTCAACAGATCATGGAGCAGTGTCAAGGATGGATGCCGGCTGGAGCACACAGCCTCCTTTGTCGGGTACATCAGCCCAGGGTGAGTGACCCTGGCAAAACAACCGGGTGACCGACCTCACAATGGCCTCATGAGGTAGTTCCAGAGATCTCCGCAGAGGAAGAAGGCGCTGACTTACGGCCACACCCGGGCCAGTGGGCGGAGCAAGAGTGACGTCACAAGGGGCGTTGCCGGCAGACGAAACGGAAGGAAACAAAAGTTTGAATAAAATGAAATTGAAGAATCAAAATTAAAACTCGAAAATCACAAACCTTTCGGGGATTGTTTTATGCCAGCGATTACTAAAATGATAAAGCACTCAACACGAAGACGATTCGACGGCCAAAAATTGCAGGCACAGAGGAGCAAGGTGACTAAACAGGACAGAGGGCGCCATCTTACGGCCCCACCCACCAGAAGAAGGCAGAGGAAGATGACGTCGCAAGGGCGTGGCAGTCACCCCTCCCCCCCCCAACTATAAAAGGGTGCGCCACCCAACCAGAGGCAGAATCACAGTCGAGCAGCCGAGAGTCACAGTCCACAGCTGGAGCCGGAGACGCCATCTGGGAGCCGCCGTCAGTCCGGGTCACCCGCGAGAAGCCTCTTCAGTTCGAGTGACCAGAGCCGGAGGACAACCGCCGACGCTTGAGACCACACTGAGAAGCGGAAGCGCAGAGAACTCCAGAATGTGAGTGTTGTTGAAAAGTCTGCTCAATCCCAATCCTTGCCCCCCCCCCCCTCTGCCCAGCGTGCCGTGCCCGTGACGACTGCCAAACATTTTCGGTTACCATAAAATGCACTCTCAATTGGAATTGGAAAACTTAAATTACTTTGAACTTATTGGTCCAGACACCCTAGTAGCATGTTAGGATCTGAATTTCGAGGTCATGTCAGAGTCGCCAGCAAACCGTTATTGTCAGTGGGAGTTCACGATTAGGCCAAGAGCGAGATCCGAAAATTTACATAAGTAGCTCAGTGTCACGAACGCTGAAATTGATGACAGGATGCGTGACAACGTTGAAATGTCTTTGTCTTCGGTCAAGATGGTTCGTTCGATTTATTATGGGCGATGGCCAGGTGCGTTTTGAGGTTGGAACGTTTGTGAAATAAAGGGTTTAGATTCGTGCTGTACTCACTAAAAGTTGCATTGCGAAATCATTGGTAATATTGCTGTAATCTAAAATGGAAGCTAAAATGGAAGTCGAAATCAATTATAGAACAGGTAAATACGTTTGAAAGGAATGTAATGTTTTAAGGTGGCGACTGATTCATGCGATCGATCTATGAATATGGCTATGAATTATGATTTGCGACAGATACGAATGCTTGAGCGTACGGCGGAATTTTTCCTGTTACTTAGGTGCATAGTTGCGAGCAGTGGTTTGAGGTTGACGGTTTGACACTTTGCGACTTTAGATGGTCACTTTGCGTCATTGAAATTGCGAAATGTCGAGTAACAGGTAGATGTAGAAATGTTTGTGGTTAGAACTAATATGCGACTAATATAGGTACCGATCGTTGTGCTTTGTAGAATAAATACTAGAAAGGACCAGCTTTGTTGGGAAACGATCAAATGGGACAGGAGTAAAAAAAAAAAAAAAACTTACGTGGAATGGAGCTGATGAGATGTCGAACAGGGAGATATCGAAGCGATATTTTACCAGATTCACACTCACTGACACAGCCGTTGAATCTCCCGGCCCGAAGAGACCGCACACACCAGTACTGCACCGCGAGTGATGACGCGCCCATCGCGGCGCGGCCTTGACAACTGTCGACTGTCGACGCGGCGCCGGCCGGCGGCCGTCGTAATCGTCGTTCCCGACACGGGCGTTGAGCCGCCAGAGGGCGCGAGAAGCAGCCACAACAGGGGCAGTGGGTTAGCCGTAATTGGGGCGCGGGCGGTAGGTGAAGGTCACGTATAGGAGTCTGGTTAGTTGCGGAAAGTTGCAACGGGATAAGAACGTAGACAGTTAAATATGATATGCTATATGATATCTAGGACTGCACTTCGTTTGATGCGCATTGTTTACTGCTAATAGGATGATTTAAATTAGATTCCCTATGAAAGGCTAGGGACCCTATGACAACATTCTGGCACTCTATAAAGATAATTTGTTTAGGTAACTAGTAGCCCATCAGAAGCTATCGAACGAGTTTCAAGGAGGCATTTCCGTTTGAGCATTCAGTAATTCACCATGGTACGGTGGATCACAACCAGACGGCAGATCGATGCGTGTTAATTGGTTCTAGATCATATGTCTGATTAAATCAAGAGCGGTTCAAGGTCTGCTAGGATTGTATACGAGAACTGATGATAAGGTTCACGCGTGTAGCAGCAATTAGGACTTGAGATTACGATTAGATTTGGTTAAATTATGCGTTTCTGCTATTCGCGTTCTTGCGAGTTAGCGCCAATAATTACTCCAACAATATTGGCACAGGGCATTGTGAGGCACAGACGGCTTGTTTGCCCGCCTCCTATGGCGTAACGTTTACCAGCATGACTGTATGAGACACAGATGCACTTCTCGAAACCCACGTCCAGACCGGAATAATAAGAGGGACACACCGTCACGTACGCAGGGCATATGCACGTTTTCCGCCAGTGGTACCGGCCACTGTTAATTTTCCCGCTTAGGTAACACTGGGTGAGAAGGCAGTGAGAGGTTTCTACGGCAGGGGGGAAGGGGAAGATTGGCACAGTATGCAGTGGAGAGTAAGTTATGCCAAAGGCAAGAAGCCGAAGGTCAGGGGTGAGTCACCCAAAGGGCGGATAAGGCGAGCCGTAGTGTCCCGGATAAGTCCTCATACTTATTTCGTAAAGGTACTCTAATCGGTACTGGACAGCCTCAGGGGAGGGAAGAATGTACTCCAGGACACGTAAGGCCTTGAATAGTAAATCCCATGGTTAAGGATAGTTCCAGGATATGAACTAGGGTCCCTGGGTCGTGAACGGGAATGTTACACGCGGACCGGAAGAGGGCATAGGTAATCTCTCCCGGTAGAGAGATAAGTCGGATATAAATCGTGTATGTGTGTACCATAAGTCTATCGGTCGTGTAGTGAATCCCATAAATTAGTAGGGTGGATATTTATGCAATTATTCTGGACGGCCCTGCGGTAAGTATCTTTGTCGCCGGTTAGCGGAGCATGCATATGGATTTCGGAAAGAGACATTTATCTCGCCGGGGAGATCGCTATTAGTCAGGCACCTAACGCCATCGGAGGGAATTCGAGGGGCGCTAAATAAATTTGGGGTGAATATATGACGAACGAACGTAGAGAGAGGATGAGAGTGAGAATGGTAAAGGATGAATCTTAGGATAAGGCCGATGGGAGTTTAGCGAAGCTCAGTTAGGACAGTCAAACTAATTAATCTCGAGGGCAACTTAAAACTAGCAACGCTAATACGAATTAAGTGGGCAATTTTCTTAATGGGAAGGCCAGTGATATAGGAATGGGTGACTGGACGAATGATCACATTCAATTTATCAATGTAATTACCACCCATATGTTTGGCAGTGGTCATCGGGACTTCGAATGCCCTGTCCTTCACCTGCCCAACTGTGCCGCAAACCCAGCTGATCGGATACCTCTATCCCTAATCCGAGCAGTGAAGAAGCATCTCGTGCATCATGGTCTATACAATGAACAGAATCATCAAGCCTCTAAATTAAAAAGCATCTTCCATCAGATGTATTTGTATGCAAGGTGGATCTCTAGACATCTCCCTCAGGTGGATCTCAACACCATCTCAAGATCTCTATCAGGTGGATCTATATCTACATCTATCTCAGGATCTCATCACTATCTGGATCTCTCTCTAGATCTATCTCGGGATCTTTTCCAAGACTCTCAAGCTCCCCTGTTCTACCAGTTCAACTATCGAGTTCATTCCAGCAGCAAATAGCTCTGTTCCTCTACAACCAGCTGAACGACAGTGGACCGCGGTGCTGGATCAACCGCAAAGAAGGCGTTTGATTACCCGCAAGGAAGCAGTTATTATCCTCTCTTCTTCTTCTTTTCTAAATCCCCTCGCTACAAATGGCGCCCAAAACGTGGGGATTTGATAATTCTCAAATTGTGAAGCTGGTAGACTGGCACAAGCCGCCGAACCCGAAGTTGATGAATTGAAAGTCAACCGTATGGAGAAGAGGAAGAAGTTGAAGAATAGAGCAGGTGTTCGAAATACCGGCAGCAGTGGAAATGAGCGTGCTGCAGGGGTCGATATGAAGAAAGAGGATGAGCTAAAGAAAGCTGTGTGAAGATGATGAAGCTTATGATGGTGGCTGATGACAGGGAAGTTGAAGAATTGAGCAGGTGTTCGAAATACTGACAGCAGTGGAAATAAACGTGCTGCAGGGGTCGACGTGAAGGAAGAGGATGAGCTAAAGAAAGATGTGTGAAGATGATGAAGCTTATGATGGTGGCTGATGAGAGGAAGCGGTCTTACGAATACTGAAAAGGACATAGAAGAAGTTGTTGAAGATAAGATAAGGAAATGAAGCTGTCTCATGAACAAAGGATCAGACTAATACAGAAGACAGGCCGAAAATGAAACTTGACAATTGTTTGCATCAGCATATCAATTCTTCTACGTTCTGCTGTACAACAAGTCCAAGTCTCGGTCAGCTGCTGTATTGCAAAGGAGAGCTCGAACTTTCTAGAGTATTGAGGATAAAAGGACAGCAATATCAAAAGCAGAAGAGGAAGAAGAACAGGCGAAATCCTCGTGTTGTACTGAATCAAAATCAAACACGGTCGTCTTCACAACACAGCCAAGGCGATTATCATGTTGGTGAACGAGGAGAGGGTGCCAGGATGCTGCAAGACCAACTGCCAAACGATCCATTCAGATGGGCTGCTGCAGAGATCACCCACCTGGGCTGCTGCGACGGCGGTCACCTGGTCCGCCGAAAGGTCGCTACCTGAGCTGCCACGGAGGTCACCAGTGCTGCCACGGGGATGCATTGCCCTCGCGTGCTGCCTCGGAGGTCACTCACCTGAGCGGCCGCGGAAGTCGCCTACCTGAGCTGCCACGGAGGTTGTCACCGGGTCTGCCACGAAGGTCACCTACCCGGGCTGCCATGGAGGTCACCCACTTGAGCTGCCGCGGAAGTCGCATACCTGAGCTGCCACGGATGTCATCTGTGCTGCCACGGAGGATGCATTGCCCTCGCGTGCTGCCCCGGGGGTCACTCAACTGAGCTGCCGCGGAAGTCGCCTACCTGAGCTGCCACGGGGGATGCATTGCCATCGCGTGCTGCCTCGGGGGTCACTCACATGAGCTGCCGCGGAAGTCGCCTACCTGAGCTACCACGGAGGCTGTCACCGGGTCTGCCACGAGGGTCACCTACCTGGGCTGCCACGGAAGTCGCCTACCTGAGCTACAACGGAGGCTGTCACGGGTCTCCCACGATGGTCACCCAACCGGGCTGCCACGGGGATGCGTTGCCCTCGCGTGCTGCCTCGGGGGTCACCCACCTGAGCTGCCATGGAGGTCGCTCACCTGAGCTGCCACGGAGCCTGCCACCCGGGCGGCCACAGAGGTCGCGGCAGGGCCGGCCATGGAGGTCGCCTACCCGGACTGCCACAGAGGTGTCATCCACCTGGGCTGCCACGTAGGCTGCCCACACGGGCCGCCGTGCAAGCTGCCCACCCGGGCTGCCACGGAACCCGCCGTCCGGGCTGCTGTGGAATCTTCCCACCCTGGCTGCCGTGGAGGCCGCCCCACCCAGGCTGCCACCCGGGCTGCCGTGAAGGCTGCCCACCCGGGCTGCCATGGAGGCCGCCACCCGAACTGCTGTTGAGGCCGCCCACCTGGGCTGCCATGGCAGCCTTCACCCTCCTGAGAAGCCACTTACCGAACGGCCACCGACGACATCGGGCTAACCAAAGTGGTTGGTGCCCGTGACCCGGATCTGGTGAACGACAAACTGAGGTGGGGACGAGGAACAACAGGTGCGTGTGTGTACTGTACTAGGTATACGATGTCATGTTGTAGGCGTTGCTGAAGATCAGATGATTGTGTAGATTTAGATGAGTAAGGGGTATGACTTTTCTTCGTATGAGTTGCGAGGACGCAACTAGGGTTGTTTGGACTGAAGATGTAGCACGCTACATCTTGAACATTTAACGTAGTATCTTTTCGGCACGGCTCGGTCCGGCAGTCCCTCTCCCTCGCAGTCCGGCCACACGCCTAGCTCGCTTTCCCACACCCAATTCCCCCCCCCCCCCCCAGTTCCCCTAATCTATCACTGTCCGCACAGAATGGGCAGCCGTTAAACTCCCATTAAGACGCGCGCTTTTGGAGACAGCTACCGCAGGATGAACGATTCGAACCCCAACAAGTAACAGCTGGATCAGTAACATTGTCAACAGCTCATGGACCCACGCCGAGGACAGATAACGGCTGGGAGCGCTGGATCAGTAAGATATGTCAACAGATCATGGAGCAGTGTCAAGGATGGATGCCGGCTGGAGCACACAGCCTCCTTTGTCGGGTACATCAGCCCAGGGTGAGTGACCCTGGCAAAACAACCGGGTGACCGACCTCACAATGGCCTCATGAGGTAGTTCCAGAGATCTCCGCAGAGGAAGAAGGCGCTGACTTACGGCCACACCCGGGCCAGTGGGCGGAGCAAGAGTGACGTCACAAGGGGCGTTGCCGGCAGACGAAACGGAAGGAAACAAAAGTTTGAATAAAATGAAATTGAAGAATCAAAATTAAAACTCGAAAATCACAAACCTTTCGGGGATTGTTTTATGCCAGCGATTACTAAAATGATAAAGCACTCAACACGAAGACGATTCGACGGCCAAAAATTGCAGGCACAGAGGAGCAAGGTGACTAAACAGGACAGAGGGCGCCATCTTACGGCCCCACCCACCAGAAGAAGGCAGAGGAAGATGACGTCGCAAGGGCGTGGCAGTCACCCCTCCCCCCCCCCCCAACTATAAAAGGGTGCGCCACCCAACCAGAGGCAGAATCACAGTCGAGCAGCCGAGAGTCACAGTCCACAGCTGGAGCCGGAGACGCCATCTGGGAGCCGCCGTCAGTCCGGGTCACCCGCGAGAAGCCTCTTCAGTTCGAGTGACCAGAGCCGGAGGACAACCGCCGACGCTTGAGACCACACTGAGAAGCGGAAGCGCAGAGAACTCCAGAATGTGAGTGTTGTTGAAAAGTCTGCTCAATCCCAATCCTTGCCCCCCCCCCCTCTGCCCAGCGTGCCGTGCCCGTGACGACTGCCAAACATTTTCGGTTACCATAAAATGCACTCTCAATTGGAATTGGAAAACTTAAATTACTTTGAACTTATTGGTCCAGACACCCTAGTAGCATGTTAGGATCTGAATTTCGAGGTCATGTCAGAGTCGCCAGCAAACCGTTATTGTCAGTGGGAGTTCACGATTAGGCCAAGAGCGAGATCCGAAAATTTACATAAGTAGCTCAGTGTCACGAACGCTGAAATTGATGACAGGATGCGTGACAACGTTGAAATGTCTTTGTCTTCGGTCAAGATGGTTCGTTCGATTTATTATGGGCGATGACCAGGTGCGTTTTGAGGTTGGAACGTTTGTGAAATAAAGGGTTTAGATTCGTGCTGTACTCACTAAAAGTTGCATTGCGAAATCATTGGTAATATTGCTGTAATCTAAAATGGAAGCTAAAATGGAAGTCGAAATCAATTATAGAACAGGTAAATACGTTTGAAAGGAATGTAATGTTTTAAGGTGGCGACTGATTCATGCGATCGATCTATGAATATGGCTATGAATTATGATTTGCGACAGATACGAATGCTTGAGCGTACGGCGGAATTTTTCCTGTTACTTAGGTGCATAGTTGCGAGCAGTGGTTTGAGGTTGACGGTTTGACACTTTGCGACTTTAGATGGTCACTTTGCGTCATTGAAATTGCGAAATGTCGAGTAACAGGTAGATGTAGAAATGTTTGTGGTTAGAACTAATATGCGACTAATATAGGTACCGATCGTTGTGCTTTGTAGAATAAATACTAGAAAGGACCAGCTTTGTTGGGAAACGATCAAATGGGACAGGAGTAAAAAAAAAAAAAACTTACGTGGAATGGAGCTGATGAGATGTCGAACAGGGAGATATCGAAGCGATATTTTACCAGATTCACACTCACTGACACAGCCGTTGAATCTCCCGGCCCGAAGAGACCGCACACACCAGTACTGCACCGCGAGTGATGACGCGCCCATCGCGGCGCGGCCTTGACAACTGTCGACTGTCGACGCGGCGCCGGCCGGCGGCCGTCGTAATCGTCGTTCCCGACACGGGCGTTGAGCCGCCAGAGGGCGCGAGAAGCAGCCACAACAGGGGCAGTGGGTTAGCCGTAATTGGGGCGCGGGCGGTAGGTGAAGGTCACGTATAGGAGTCTGGTTAGTTGCGGAAAGTTGCAACGGGATAAGAACGTAGACAGTTAAATATGATATGCTATATGATATCTAGGACTGCACTTCGTTTGATGCGCATTGTTTACTGCTAATAGGATGATTTAAATTAGATTCCCTATGAAAGGCTAGGGACCCTATGACAATATTCTGGCACTCTATAAAGATAATTTGTTTAGGTAACTAGTAGCCCATCAGAAGCTATCGAACGAGTTTCAAGGAGGCATTTCCGTTTGAGCATTCAGTAATTCACTATGGTACGGTGGATCACAACCAGACGGCAGATCGATGCGTGTTAATTGGTTCTAGATCATATGTCTGATTAAATCAAGAGCGGTTCAAGGTCTGCTAGGATTGTATACGAGAACTGATGATAAGGTTCACGCGTGTAGCAGCAATTAGGACTTGAGATTACGATTAGATTTGGTTAAATTATGCGTTTCTGCTATTCGCGTTCTTGCGAGTTAGCGCCAATAATTACTCCAACAATATTGGCACAGGGCATTGTGAGGCACAGACGGCTTGTTTGCCCGCCTCCTATGGCGTAACGTTTACCAGCATGACTGTATGAGACACAGATGCACTTCTCGAAACCCACGTCCAGACCGGAATAATAAGAGGGACACACCGTCACGTACGCAGGGCATATGCACGTTTTCCGCCAGTGGTACCGGCCACTGTTAATTTTCCCGCTTAGGTAACACTGGGTGAGAAGGCAGTGAGAGGTTTCTACGGCAGGGGGGAAGGGGAAGATTGGCACAGTATGCAGTGGAGAGTAAGTTATGCCAAAGGCAAGAAGCCGAAGGTCAGGGGTGAGTCACCCAAAGGGCGGATAAGGCGAGCCGTAGTGTCCCGGATAAGTCCTCATACTTATTTCGTAAAGGTACTCTAATCGGTACTGGACAGCCTCAGGGGAGGGAAGAATGTACTCCAGGACACGTAAGGCCTTGAATAGTAAATCCCATGGTTAAGGATAGTTCCAGGATATGAACTAGGGTCCCTGGGTCGTGAACGGGAATGTTACACGCGGACCGGAAGAGGGCATAGGTAATCTCTCCCGGTAGAGAGATAAGTCGGATATAAATCGTGTATGTGTGTACCATAAGTCTATCGGTCGTGTAGTGAATCCCATAAATTAGTAGGGTGGATATTTATGCAATTATTCTGGACGGCCCTGCGGTAAGTATCTTTGTCGCCGGTTAGCGGAGCATGCATATGGATTTCGGAAAGAGACATTTATCTCGCCGGGGAGATCGCTATTAGTCAGGCACCTAACGCCATCGGAGGGAATTCGAGGGGCGCTAAATAAATTTGGGGTGAATATATGACGAACGAACGTAGAGAGAGGATGAGAGTGAGAATGGTAAAGGATGAATCTTAGGATAAGGCCGATGGGAGTTTAGCGAAGCTCAGTTAGGACAGTCAAACTAATTAATCTCGAGGGCAACTTAAAACTAGCAACGCTAATACGAATTAAGTGGGCAATTTTCTTAATGGGAAGGCCAGTGATATAGGAATGGGTGACTGGACGAATGATCACATTCAATTTATCAATGTAATTACCACCCATATGTTTGGCAGTGGTCATCGGGACTTCGAATGCCCTGTCCTTCACCTGCCCAACTGTGCCGCAAACCCAGCTGATCGGATACCTCTATCCCTAATCCGAGCAGTGAAGAAGCATCTCGTGCATCATGGTCTATACAATGAACAGAATCATCAAGCCTCTAAATTAAAAAGCATCTTCCATCAGATGTATTTGTATGCAAGGTGGATCTCTAGACATCTCCCTCAGGTGGATCTCAACACCATCTCAAGATCTCTATCAGGTGGATCTATATCTACATCTATCTCAGGATCTCATCACTATCTGGATCTCTCTCTAGATCTATCTCGGGATCTTTTCCAAGACTCTCAAGCTCCCCTGTTCTACCAGTTCAACTATCGAGTTCCTTCCAGCAGCAAATAGCTCTGTTCCTCTACAACCAGCTGAACGACAGTGGACCGCGGTGCTGGATCAACCGCAAAGAAGGCGTTTGATTACCCGCAAGGAAGCAGTTATTATCCTCTCTTTCTTCTTCTTTTCTAAATCCCCTCGCTACACTGGCACAATACATGTTGTGCCTTTCCAGGGGTGTCGTTTTCCGAAAATGATTGGTAGGGCCCAAAGGCGGCGGCCGGCCACATGTGGCGGGGCTTAAAAGGTAGGGTACCCCCAAATCTGCCTTTCTCATCGGATTTCGGCCACTTATTTTTTCGCCCTGGTCATTGACAAGACAATTCAAAATCTAGAAAAAAAAAAACATTTTGGAAGTCTAGGTCCTCAACGAGCTCCATGCACAAAACGTGCAGTTAACCCTATTAGTGGCAGGGGGGGTTGTTTTTATCCACCCCTCAGGTTTTTCGGGAATATCTCCGAAATCGCTGAAGCTACGATGCTGAAATTTTCTGACTTTTCCTAAAACTAAATTGGGCACATTCCCTGAAAATTTCAAGTTCATAACTTTACCAGGGGCGGCTCCAGAGCACTGGGAATTGGGGGGTCCTATTCGTGAAGCGAGTCATTTGGGCGAAGATCACGACGCTGCACCAGTTTTACGAACAGTGAATGAAAGGTATTATGTGATAACATATACAGTTATTGTGCATCCTCTTTTGACACGTTTTTGCTATAATAGGCGGATCCAGGCGTCCAAAAGGGGGGGTTATGTTTTACCTCCCAACATAGGTGCCCTGACACCGCCTATGCATGACCAATACAATTGTAGTCGTTCTCTCATAAGAAAATTGTAACATAACAAGACCATTACCACTCTTTTTAGAAACAGCACCAACAAAAACCTTATTTACTATACTTTTTGTGTACCCCCAATCTCAATGATCTGTATCCGCCTATGATTTTTGAAAATGCATATTTTTAGGATCCATGTGAATTCCTGGTTCATTCTCTATCGATCGGCAAAAGTTGCGTTAAGATTGGTTCAGAAACCTGGCCGTGATAAACAGTCTAAAATGTATCTGCAATTTGCCCGTTTTTACCCCCCTCTACCCCCCCTATTGACATTTTTTAATTTTAATTTTTTAGAAATGTAGATCACGTTGAGCGAAATCGAATGCCGTTTGAATTTTGAAAATCGGCCCGTTAGATCTCGAGATATCAAGGGGGGGTCGTAAACAGCCCCCCCCCCTGCCACTAATAGGGGGTAGCCAGGAGCCTGCCACTAATAGGGTTAACCCTCGCCGGACCTATTGGTTTTCTACATACGCGCCGGCCGAGGGGGGGGGGCGGGTACGACCCCCCCCCTCGCCGTTTCGCCCCTGGTGGAGCTAGCGCGTCGCGGAAAAAACGAGCGTGTGCGCCGTTACGAGACGCAGAGATTGGTACCCGATTTTAAGGTCCTAGGTCATCCGGTGACCTCTGAGGTCAGGTCAAGTGCCTCAGGGTACGGTTCAGTTTTTGGTGAATAACTTCGCAAAAAACGGCCGCAGAGCGCCGATTTTGGCAGCATCGTGTTCGACTCGCTCAGGCGCGTCGAATGATATACTTTTTGTCCGGGTCAGGTCAACTTGGGGTGTTGACCTCAGGTCAAGGTCAGGTCAGCACCCCCAGGTCACGAAGTTGGTCGAAAGAGGTCATGTCGCATATCATTCGATTCGGCAGGCCTTCCTGAGTCCATTGGTGCCTTTCCCGACTCGCTAGCTCAATTTGATCAAGAGTTATTGACGAAAAACTAATTTGACCTTGATGACGTCATAAATGACGTCACGCAAGGTCAACATTGCAAAAGTGACGCATCTAACCTTGCAAGGAGTGCATCAAATCACGATTCTGTGTGCTTGAGATAGTTGGAGATCGTTCCCGGCGCCAGAATAGCAGTTTGAATTTTTCCCATTGACTTATAATGGTGAGGTCACGAAAATGACCTGACCTCATATGACCTTTAGGAAAAATCCGAGATATACAAGTTGTGGGACTCATAATGGATACTAGATCCTGCAAGTTTCATTTCCCTGTGACATCTCCTCTGGCAGTGAGGGCGTTGCGAAGTTGCGACATCTGAAGACCGTGCAGAGGTTCACTTATGACGTCATAGGTCAGTGACCTGACCTGACCCAAAAATGCGGTTGGTGTCAAAAGATCCGGCTTGGATCAAAGGTCAGGTATGCCAAGTTTCAGCTCTCTATCGCCAGCGTGTTCGGAGCTATCGCGAAAAAACCCTATGGGGGGGGGGCGGCACCCGCCCCCCCCCCCTCGGCCGGCGAGGGTTAAATAGGCAGTTATAATAGTGTCGGAGGAATGCACGCCATTCTGAAAGAGGCCCACGCCGACTTAAAAGCACGGCTGTGCTGAAAGGGGCCAGGGACGGTTTTGATGGCCCAAGCCGAATGAAAAAGACGGCTACGGGGCCAGGAACGGCTTTGAAGGCCCACGCCAATCGCAGGGTTCGACAACTAACGAGGTCTCGAAACACCACGATAGTTAGAAAGACCTGCTTGCCAAAATAAAAGGATGACGGTACAAGCCGGCATTCAGAAAGTTACATGCCCGACCATGAAGAAGCAGAGAGATACGTCATCGACTTGTTAGACAAAAAAGTTCATTTATTCAAATAACCACCGCTAAGACAAACACATTTCGCGCAGCGCTTCGGCCTTCGGGAGAGCCCTCAAAGTCTCCATAATCAATTGGGTTTTGGACCCATCCCACGTCCAAGACGGCTGCTTTAGTCTCCCTGCAGTCAGCGAAGCTGCCACTGCTAATTTCCTTATGTTGGGGAAGAGGTGGCAACCAGGGGGTGCAGGGTTCGGAAAAAAAGTGGATGCGACAACAACTCGAAGCCACATTTCATCACTTAACTTATCGTCACCCCGCGCAAGTACGCAGGTGCGTGGCCACTGGCCGTGGATCAGTTGCACACTTTATGTCAGCTTCCCTATAGCCTCTCCTTGATGTCTATCGAATGGACGCACATCATCAATTGTGCGCCCCTGTTTTAGAAAGTTGACAAGCAGAGCCCCGTCGGCATACCAAAATGTAACCACTATCACTTTGCCGACTAACTTCAACTCGTACCACTCATTTGGTGGCCGTTACTCGGTGTGCACTGTGCTTCCACTTGCGCAACTCGGCACGGTGTCCCTTAGTGTCAACGTGTGACGCCCACAATTCCTTTACGGTGACAAGTCAATGATACGAGTACCTATCTTCTAGATATTCGATAAGGGGCCAAACACCCCGCTAAGCCTCCTTTCGAGCTTGCCTTTTCTCTGCAGTGTCAGCAAACGGGGGATACATCTTGCAGAGATCTTAAACATAGCATGATAGATTCCAGTGGCGTAGCCAAGTGGGGGGGGGGCACAGGGGGCGCGTGCCCCTCCCATCGGGTCCAGGGGGCCCTTCGGGTCCCTGCGGCGCCAATCGGCCGCTGAGGGTCCACGCTGGCCATATTTCGTCTCAAAGGGACCCCACAGGGCTCGTTAGAGCATCTCTTGGGCCCCTAAGTGGCGTATTAAGATCTTCGTAAGTGCCCCACGCCGGCTTCTTAGAGCCCTTGTCACCAGTTAAGGCCCTAAGAGGCCGCCAAGGGCCCCTTACCAGCCTGCCCCTCACGGTCTCTGAGAATCTCTTGCTGGCCTCTGAGGGCCCATTGGTGGCCTTGGCTCTGAGGGCGCATTGGTGGCCTCGGCTCTGAGGGCCTATTGGTGGCCTCTGAGGGCCCTTACCGGCCTATTAGGAGCCGGCTCTACGAGCTGCATGCCCGCCTGTGATGGTCCAACACCAATTCTCTTAGGGCCCCAATAACTGTGAGGAGTGCCTCTGATAGCCCACACCGGCGTTTCTGAGAGCCCACGCCGGCGTTTCTGAGGCCCCTTCTCGCCCAGTTCTGAGGGTCTTCATCAGAGGCTCCTAAGGCCCTACACCAGCCCCAGCGACTCTGACGGCTCCACTGAGTCCACACTGGTGACTCTGAGGGTCCCAGTGGCGTCTGAGAATACTATTCCGGTCTAAAGGGACCCCCTCGGCGCTCCTAAAGGCACCACCGACCTCTGAGGTCCCCTTGTCGTCCTATGTTCTGCCCGCACCAGCACTCAGCTCAGCAGCTCTAAGGGTCCCACGCATATCTGTGATGGCCACAAACCAGTGTATCTGAGGGCCCCGAAACGGCGCTTAAGAGGGCCCTCACCGGCGACATATGCATCTGACGGACACCCACCAGTGACTTTTGCGTGGCCCACACCGGCAATTCTGAGGATCCCACCGGAGTCTGAGAGTACCGTGCCGTTCTCTAAGGACCCCACTGAACTTCTGAAGGTGCTGCCGGCCTCTGAAGACCCTTTGCCGGCCTGAGGAGTGAGGACACCTTGCCGTTCCCTAAGAATCCCCTGCCGGCTTGCGAAGGGTTCGCGACAGCAGCTCCTACGGCCCACAGGCCACACACATCTGTGACGAATGTAAGTACATATATGCTTATTTGCTTATCTGTTTATTTTGATTTTTTTACCAAGTGACAAAAGATTGGTAGAGCTCAGCGAACACTGGTAGGGCCCAAATAAACATTGGTAGGGCTCGGGCCCTACCAGGCCTATACAAAACGACGCCCCTAGGCACTTTGTCAAAAGTTATTACCGAAAAACATGTTTTCGTTAAAACGGCTTTTCTAGAGTTTTTGCCCTCTGGAGGCTAAACCATTGATCTTAGGTCAAATCTGGGGACAGCTTATAGAAAAAGCGTTAAAGGAGCTATCGGATGCGCTTTTCCACCTTAGATGGCCTCTGGTGACCCCGACCTCTGACCGGACCTAATAAGTGACCGGTTATTTTCGTCATGATTTTTGACGTTCTTTGGATTGCCGCATACCGTGTGTCGCTACATAGCCCTAGAGCCGAATTAGAGGGTTCAAACGCCCTCCCCCATTCCGACGCTATTAGCGCCGAGCACCGGCCCGTCGCGGGTTGAAAGAGCTATTGAATGATTGTTTCTGCTAATCGAGCCCAATTACTTCACGAACTGCGAAATATTTTATCGAAGAACGTGAATACAATACCGTTCAAATTTAATGATGTCCGGTTACCTGTCCTTTGACATGAATTAAAATGACCCGGAAACTCAAGTCGTGTTTTTCTTACTTTTCTTACGCTGTTTTCTGCTTATTGCTATATGGCCCTGGAGCCCAGTTAGAGTGAAACGTAAAAAAAAATCCAGCTTCCCGCCAGGCGGCGCTGCGATCAATCACAGTCCTTACTCGGGCTTAGTCATCGTTCTCTCCAGTAATCTGACGTTTACCACCTCCAAGTCACTCGCAGCCTTCGTTTCACCATCGCTCGCAGCGCTCACAACTCCACGGACACAGCCACGGTAACGGCACCATGTATTGTGCGGTCAGTGTTTGTACGGAGACCGAGCGAAAGCCCGCAGCCCACCGCGCGCCGTTCAGACCGGTCCACGAACCGGCGCGCGTCGCTCTCAGGAAAGCAAGCCGGTCGGAGTGGCTGGGGCGACGGCCGCAGGCGGCTGCCCCAGCTGGTTAGTGACGGTGACGGCGCGGAAGGCGCGGACGGCGCGGTCCTTCAGTCGGCGGCGCGGCCGGCCGCCCCGAGCACCAGAGCGAAGGGCGGCGCTGTCCGGCGGCGCTGTCCGGCGGCGCTGTCCGGCGGCGCTGGCTGGCGGCGCTGTCCGGCGGCGCTGTCCGGCGGCGTTGGCTGGCGGCGCTGAGCCGACGGGGCGATGAGCGAATGGAATCGTGGTGCGTCCGGCAGCCGGTGATGGCGGCGCTGCCCGACGCGGCTGAAGGCGGCTCCTTACATGAGCGGCTTGTTTCTGTTACGGAGAGAGAGCTCGGGTCAGTGTCAGTCAGCACGTGCGGGTGAGCGGGCGCACGAGCGACGGACAGACGTGGCGCAAAATGCGCCATAGGTGTCGTCACAGAAAAATACACAGAGTGAGGCAAAGGACTGAAAATACACAGAAGCGGCGTGGACGAGCTACGAACAGTTAGGAGAATCAAAACAAATGGACTGAATTGGGTACTGGGGTTACGTCCCCAGTTTAAAAAAGAACACGTTTTAATGTGTCTCGTGTACTGTTTATCGGAGCTATGATTGATAGTCCGAAAAGTATTTTACAATATCCGTTTAAATTACGGTATTTATAATCAATTTCTTATCAACACTAAATAAAAAAGAAACAAAAATGCCAATCAAAAGTGAGCCAGGCGGATTATAGCGACACGGACGACACGCGGCGTGGCTGGAGGTCTCCCCGTGACGTCGTCCGGCTCCGACAGCTCGGCAGGGCCGCCGCTCCGGCTCCCCGCGCTGGTATCCCGCGCTGTCCGCGCCGCCCGCCGCCGACGCGCCACTTACGACGCCGACTCCTTGTTGCCGAACTGGGCGCCTGTGTCCATGCTGAGCGCGCCGGCGCCGCCGCCGAACCCGTAGCCCTTGGGTCCGTACTTGCGGCCGTGGCACTGCTTGCAGAACAGAACCTTCTCGTGCTCGCTGCAGTTGGTCGAGTCCAGCGCCTTGTTGCACATGGCTGAAAACGCCGCGCACAGAAGTCAGAAGTGGTAAGGTATAAAAAACACGTTAATCGGTTGTGAGGTCTTTAACATTTTTTTTTTAGACCTTCCCATATGCCATCAATTGATATATGCTGATATCTCATGTCAACCCCGTCCTGTATGTATAACAGCAGGCTGCACACTTAACAGCCCACATCATTGCTAGGTGCACTTCATAACTAACTATTCCCGCTGAATACACGCTGCAGACTTTTCGCCGTTCACTTACAGCACTTGAAGCACGTCTTGTGGTACTTGTATCCACCGGCGACCCGCTCCTCGGCCGCATATACTGACTTATCGCAAGCCGGGCACTTGGGAGTCTCGACGGGCTTGAAAGGCATGGTGGCTGCTTTTCGGGATTGTCTGTAGAATAACAAAGAACGAGGGTTAGAGGAAAGATCACCAAAGTTGGTTTTGAATGGAATTATGCTGTCATTCAGTGTCATGTCGGCTGTCGCTATCCGTTCACAAAGATATAACTAAGAAAGGCTGTGACCGATATTTTCAGGGTGAAAAGCTAATTTCTTACTGCTAGAAATGCACGAATTCAGGGAAACTCCAACTATGGCCAGAACCCTAACCTCCCACTTGCGTCGGATCCATGCACCAAAGCTTGCGTTTTTGGCCACTAGTTAGCGCTGAGGGTGTACGGCGCGAGGAGCCAAATTTGGCGAGGAGTCAAGGTAATCCGGCGCGGCGCAGTGTCAGGCGCGGTGAGTCACCCTACGAGTGACCTCAGTGGCTCCGCTCCACGCAAATTCAGGTCGGTCGAGCCAGCCAGGCCCAGGCGGCAGTCGAGGCCGTGTAAAAGAGCTCCACCGCTGAGGCTGGCCTGTTGTTGAGCTGATTGGCAAATAATGTATGAACAATGGCGGGAATGCCAAAATGTGGCACGTATATTGACCAGACTTTTGAGGAAACAACTATTGTTGATTTGTTGGGAGCATTGGAGACATCAATTCCAAGTTATTTGTAAACGTTTTGTCTGTTTATCCCGCGCTATAGGGGAGACCGGGGACTGGAGCTGTGTCGCTCTCGGGCTGCATCATTGCTGTAAATGTGATATTGTAATATTTTACGCAATAGCATAAGATTAGATAGTTTACATTTTGGAATGCTTATGGAAACATGTCAGTAAGGGTACCTTGTAAATATTGGCCCAGGAAATTCTGTTGCGAAACCAGAAACATCTCAAACACCGATTTTCTTCTCTTTTATAGAGCTCGTCTATAATTATGTTGAGTTATACACTGGCAACATACCACCTCACGCAACATAACTCTATGACCGTTAACTAATAATTGCACAGGGTGTCAGAGCTCGACGGGGCTGGAGGACTACTAACAAAGTGGGAAGAGAACTGAACGATGACAGCGTCACACTCTTCAGTCCGTGTTCTGCCACGGCTCGCTGGAGGGCGATACGTCACGTGTGACTTGTGCGCCGATGTGTCAGATGCGAACGATACGTCAGAACCAAAAGACGTGGGTTCTGATGTGTGTGAAGTTTCGAGTAATTTTCGAGGAGCAGATGTTACGTCCGAGATAGCAATGGGAGTCGGGAAAGCACAGCATTACAGGCCTTTATTAACACTTTTATCCATGCGAAATAAACGTTAATTATCCAGGGCTTGAGATCGATGCGGTATCTAATACACAAAAAGGACATGCCGTGCAGTGCCAATGGCCACACGATAATTCTTGGCATGGTACAACAATGATTCATTATCGCTCCCCAAAGTGTAATTCGTTAGGTTGTAATTGGTCCTACAATGGGGCTTGATGTAAAATGTCATCACGACTGGACTAACTGCGGTTAATCACGGAATTCTGCAGAATCTATGGGAAGGAGCGACAAATGCTATAGTGCGGACCCAAAGGAGCGATCATTGTGAGTTCCAGGATAGCGCGCTTCGCACCTGAAGTAGCGAGCATTTTGGGCCAAAAGAAAAGACTTTGTAGACCCGAATGATCAACCATTACGGATCCAAAGGATGGACTTTGCGGGCCTGAGTGATAGACCATTACGGGCCCGATAAGACGACCATTGCGGGCCCACAGGAGTGTTCAATGTGGCCCAGTCGGCGCTTTGGAACGAGCCACGGCTGTGTCCTGGATCAAACCACAGCCGCAGCCCACCTCGTGGCACCTCCCCGTCGCTGGGGTCACACTAGGGTCACAAGGGGTCACACGGGGTCACAACTATGTGCCGGTCGGTATCGGCACTGCACCGGTCGGGTTAGGCACTACACTGGGCTGCCGATCAGTCAGTCACATTTTCCACAGCTGGCACCACATAGCGGGCCGAGCTGACCGCCGGGCCGCCGGGCCGCTGCGGCTCGGTCACCTGGCGTCAGCAGAGTCGGAGGCTGTCTTCTCGTGCGAGGTCGGACGCGGACTGCGCACCCGCCTTCCAGCTCACCACCCTGTTCGACTAGCGATTCAGAAATATCGGCTGAAGTCACCAACCGAAAATAGCGCCCCGCCTCGGCCGGCCTCTGGATCGGGCTGCTCTGGCGCCGTCCGTGCCCCCCCCCCCCTCCACTGGCCCCCTCCCTGACCCGAAGAAATCGAGTGAGGTCACGGGGCGGAGCACGGGTCGCTCGCTGATTGAGCGGGGAGGGACGGGCCAAATCCCGTTCAGTGAAAATATTCTCGGCGTTTCAGCTGTGCCGCAGTTGGTATGTACTCACATCAGTAATTTCCCTGATTAATGGTTCAGGGACAGAAAACGTCTAAAAATTAGGGTTATTTACATTATGGTTAAAAAAAAACATTCGGACACTGTTGCGTTGTTCTTCTGGACAGAGCTAAGCCACGTATTCGTACGAGGTTCTCATAAGCAAACACAAGATGCTCATCTCTTCTACAACGGTGAAAGTTTCCGAAAATTATATAGTGGCTTCATTACGGTGAACGTGGTGACTAGGGTGAAGAACTATCTGTCATTCGCTTCAGGAGAAATAATGTCGGATAGATTTAGAAATATCTAAGTAGAATGAGTCTTGATGATGGGACAATTACAGTTGAAAACACATTTTCGCGTTGCAGGAGCCGGTGTAGGTATGTGCCTTTTATAATAGGAAAACTTCACTTAAATCGAGTGAGGTCACGGGGCGGAGCACGGGTCGCTCGCTCATTGAGCGGGGAGAGACGTTCCAATTCCAATTCTAGGAAATATTCTCGGCGTTTCAGCTGTACCGCAGTTGGTACTTACACCAAGTAAAATTTTTATCATCTTATATCAGACATTACCAGTATAACGCCTTTTGGGGCGACTAACGGAGCGAGCGAGAGGATGGGCCTTGCACGTGCGAAATTTCGAGGGGGTACCTCCAACTGAATTGAGCACGGCACCCTACTAACCGGTCTCTAGCAATATGCCAAATTTGAGCACAATCGGCCCAGCCGTTCTCGAGATCTGGAAGCGGCACCCTGCACGTGCGCACGTGCAATATGGGTCCCAACTGACTTGTGCACGGCACGCTACTAACTGGTCCCTAACCGTGTACCAAATTTGAGCGCAATCGGTCCAGCCGTTCTCGAGATCTGGAAACGACCCCTGCACGTGCGCACGTGCAGCAGCACCCCAACTCTGGCACATGGATATGCAGTGCCTAGTGGGTGCCTACCTATATGCCAACTTTCAGCACAATCGGCCAAGTAGTTACCGAGATATTGCAACAATTACAAAACGGACACCTCTTCGTTTTGCACGTGGCACGTGCATAAGGGGTCACCCACATGCATCGGGAATAGTCCAATACTTGGTAGAAGGAATGAAGCTACCGTACAAAAATTACCGCGCGTAAATCGGTTAAGTGGTTGCTGAGATATAAGCCTCGCAAAAGCGTCCGCACGGCCGGCCGGCCGGCCGGCCGGCCGCTCATACTCAGAAATTTCCGTTAATCTAAGGAAAGACTACGCTCGCTTCGCTCGCTCCGTAACCAGTATAACGCCTTATGGGGCGACTAACGGAGCGAGCGAAAGGGTGGGCCTTGCACGTGCGAAATTGCGAGGGGGTACCTCCAACTGACTTGTGCACGGCACCCTACTAACCGGTCTCTAGCGATGTGCCAAATTTGGGCACAATCGGCCCAGCCGTTCTCGAGATCTGGAAGCGGCACCCTGCACGTGCGCACGTGCAAAATGGGTCCCAACTGACTTGTGCACGGCACCCTACTAACCGGTCCCTAACTGTGTACCAAATTTGAGCGCAATCAGTCGAGCCGTTCTCGAGATCTGGAAAAGACCCCTGCACGTGCGCACGTGCAGCAGCACCCCAACTCTGGCACATGGATATGCAGTGCCTAGTGGGTACCTACCTACATGCCAACTTTCAGCGCAATCGGCCAAGTAGTTACCGAGATATTGCAACAATTACAAAACTGACACCTCTTCGTTTTGCACGTGGCACGTGCATAAGGGGTCACCCACATGCATCGGGAATAGTCCAATACTTGGTAGAACGAATGAAGCTACCCTACAAAAATTACCGCATCTAAATCGGTCAAGTGGTTGCTGAGATATAAGCCTCGCAAAAGAAACCCCGGAAATAACGGAAATTTACGGAATAACGGAAATTTCTGAGTATGAGCGGCCGGCCGGCCGGCCGGCCGGCCGTGGTCACGATTCTGCAACGCTTATATCTCAGCAACCACTTGACCGATTTACATGCGGTAATTTTTGTAGGGTAGCTTCATTCCTTCTACCAAGTATTGGACTATTCCTGATGCATGTGGGTGACCCCTTATGCACGTGCCACGTGCAAAACGAAGAGGTGTTCGTTTTGTAATTGTTGCAATATCTCGGTAACTACTTGGCCGATTGCGCTGAAAGTTGGCATGTAGGTAGGCACCCACTAGGCACTGCATATCCATGTGCCAGAGTTGGGGTGCTGCTGCACGTGCGCACGTGCATGGGTCGTTTCCAGATCTCGAGAACGGCTCGACCGATTGCGCCCAAATTTGGTACACAGTTAGGGACCGGTTAGTAGGGTGCCGTGCACAAGTCAGTTGGGACCCATTTTGCACGTGCGCACGTGCAGGGTGCCGCTTCCAGATCTCGAGAACGGCTGGGCCGATTGTGCCCAAATTTGGCACGTCGCTAGAGACCGGTTAGTAGGGTGCCGTGCACAAGTCAGTTGGAGGTACCCCCTCGCAATTTCGCACGTGCAAGGCCCACCCTCTCGCTCGCTCCGTTAGTCGCCCCAAAAGGCGTTATACTGGGGATTTGAAGATGTTTGATGTAAAAGAGATTTAGTGCAGATTTGGTCAAGTTTAGTGAACTCGCCAGACAACCCGTCGTGAAAACGGCTTATGTGTCAGATGGTCTCAGAATAGCCGTTTTCACGACGGCCATCTGGTACACATTTGGTGCACATCTGGTACAGATTAGGTGCAGATTTGGTCAAATCAGGTTCAGTGTGTCTCTTAGCAGCTGGGGCATTCCACGATAGATCGTACCACTTTTTTCCAATTTGACACCCTCATCTCTCGGAATTTGACGAAAATTGGTCTTAGGGGTAATCAGGGGCTCTGAATCTACCTGTAACAATTTCAGGCTTATCAGATATGTATTTTTTTAGTTTTGGCGTATAACATTTTTTGGATCTTGCTTTGCAGCGCTAAGTTTGGCGGGCTGTAACTCTAAGACGGATTATTCAAATGCCAAATGTTAGATAACATTGAACTTGCAATGAAACAGAGATTAATATGTATTTTTGAAATTTCGAAAAATACGCTATTTTTGATATATGACATATCGAGTTTTCTTTCATTTGTATTTCTTGGACTGTGGGACCAAATTTTTTTGAATTTTTATTTCTTTAAAAAAATATTTAGCTCATTGTTAAGAAGTGTGCAAAAAATTAGGAAGGTGTTCTTTCTATAAATGTATTTATTTTACGTCACGATAACGGTTTCGAATAGTGATTTTGGGACGGGAGCTTACAAATGGCGTGGTAAAGCTGCCTAGTGACATCACGGGTTACTGAAATTCTCAATTGAAGTCTTATTCATCTGAAAAAATGAAAAGAGGGTTCATCCAACCCTCTTTCCTATAAGCGCGAGAGTGAAAAAGGCTGTTTGGTTCTGACATTGTTTTGGACGCCAATGACCATAGCTGTCCGAGATAAAAGTTACAGGGCGCATACATGGTGTCCTCCAGAGGTCTCACAACTGATATATCTGGGAATTTTTGAAGGTCACATGAGTCACGTGACATCACTGTTATAAGTCAATGGGGAAATATAAAATCTGTTATTTTGGCGCCGATAATGATCTAAAACTATCTCACGTACATGGTATCGTGATTTCATGCACTCCTTGCAAAGTCCAATGCTTCACTTTTGCATTGTTAACCCTGCGTGACGTCATTTATGACGTCACTAGGGTCGTACGAGTTTTTCGTCAATAACTCCCGATCAAATTGAGCTAGAGAGTCGGGAAAGCCACCAATGGACTCGGGAAGACCTTCCGAATCGAATGATATGCCATATGATACCCTTTGCCCAGCTTCGTGACCTGAGGGGCTCTGACCTGACCTTGACCCGAGGTCAACTACTTAAGTTGACCTCACCCTAACAAAAAGTATACCATTCGACGCACCTGAGCTAGGCGAACACAATGATGCCAAAATCGCGGCTCTGCGGCAATTTTTTGCGAAGTTATTTACTAAAAACCGAACCCGTAACTTCTCCCACTTGACCTGACCTCAGACGCTACCGGTTAACCTGAGACCTTAAAATTGGGTACCAATCGCTGCGACTTGTAACGGCACACACGTTCGTTTTTTCCGCGAGGCTCTACCTCTATTAGAAGCAAAACGGCGTGCTGGGGTCGTATCACCCCCTCCGAAACCCATTTTGTTTTCGGGAAAATGAAGAACTTATAGAAAGAACACCTTTCTAATTTTTTGCATGTCGATTTGCAATGACATGAAGTTTATTTTGAAAAAATAAAAATGTGAAAAACTTTGGTCCCAAAAGTCATTAGAGGCAAATGAAAAAAGATTAAGGTTTTTGTTCAACAATCAAAATTTTTCTTTAGAATTTTTAAAAAGTAATATCAATTTTTGGTTCATCGCAAGCTTAGTGTTGTTTCCCGTTTGTTGGTTGCATAACCCGTTCTTTAGTTATAGGCCATCAAACTCATCGTTACAAACCGAAGTTAAAAAAATGTAATGCAATATAACTCAAAAAGTTTTGATCTGAGAAGTCTGATATTTTGCCAGGCGTCTTTGGCGCCTATGATTACCCCTAGGACCGATTTTCATTAAAATCTGAGAGATGAGGGTGACGGGCCTGGTACGATCTATCGTGGAATGCCCCAGCTATCAGCTAGGGTTGCACTAATTGCTTATATGCCTGCTTTGTCGTATTGTCAGAGAGCATCATCGATTAAAACACTGAAATAATTTCATAAAATGAAGATATTTACTGTAAAAGAAATTAGGTGCAGATTTGGTCAAATCAGGTGCATTCGCCGGATAGCCCGTCGTGAAAACGGCTATCATAGCAACAATGCTAGCTCAAGTCGTTTTTATGTAGAGCAGAAAACTGACAGACAGCGAACCATCCCTCCACTCCACCAGTAACAGCTAGCAGGGTTCAATAAATATGATTTAACCTAGATGTGCCAGTTAGCTGTCTCCCTCAACCACTTCCATTCAAACACCTCCCGGTGAATAACAGCCTGAGGCCAACAACCTTGACCCAGCCTGGCAGACGGCCCCACCTGGCCTGCCCCGTTACCCTGCTCCAGCCGCGTACTATTTGTAGCGTGTGCAAAAACCACGTGGCAATGTTTGGCCCTGATGCGTCGCTGATTGGACAGCTGGCCACTGACGTCAGTGATCTGGGCCCAACGATAGCCGAGCTCTCAGTGCCGCACCTCCCTAACACGTCGTGAAGAGAGCTGGTCTCGTACTATTTGTAGCGTGTGCAAAAGTCACATGGCAGTGTTTACCTCAGCGGCGTCGCTGATTGGACGACTGGTCGCTGACGTCAGCGACCTAGACCCAACAAGCCGGGGGCTCCGTGCCACACCTCCCTAACACGTTGTGAGGAGAGTCGGCCTCGTACTATTTGTAGCGTGTGCAAAAGTCACATGGCAGTGTTTTGCTCAACGGCGTCGCTGATTGGACGACTGGTCGCTGACGTCAGCGACCTAGGCCCAACCAGCCGGGAGCTCCGTGCCACACCTCCCTAACACGTTGTGAAGAGAGTTGGCCTCGTACTATTTGTAGCGTGTGCAGAAGTCACGTGGCTATGTTTTGCGGAGTATCGTCGGTTGGTGCCGGGCGGCACTAACGACGAAAAGAAGCTGAGGGGATTTAATTATTTTCTACCCGCTGAGAGGAATCAAGATTGATTCAAATAATTTTTTCCTCTCATTCACTGCTACCGAAACAGTGGTTTTTGTATAGACGACATTATGATATTACGGCAATGCTGATGCTTCGCAGTGGCTTCAACTTGTTGAACCTCACTTATCACTATAATATATAATTTGTCAAAGACACACGCATCTTCATTACAGCCCACACAACGTCTTCAGCTTATACTTTGACTAAGTATGATCAGATTGAAGTGAAAAAGTTACTGATTTCGGCTGAATATTGCGAAAGATTACTACAAGTCTGCATGAAAATTTATCGCTGTTGTTTGGAGGTCTTCCCAAATTGCATTGCCTGACATTATCCCTCGCCCTGGCAGGACATTTTTCATAACACGGCCTGGCAGGGGGGGGGTCGATGCGATCCCCCCCCCGCGATTGGCTCCTATGGAACCTAGAAACACCAAATTTGGTAGGTAGGTGGCCCCCCTGGAGTTCTCGCCCCTGTGCAAATTTGGTTGCTCTAGGTCAATATTTAGGGGGGTTTTGGGGGGTATAAATGTAAAAATTTTGCTAAAAACGTGTGAAAAGGTTTTCGCTTATAACTTTTGATCTAATTAAGATAGAGCAAAAAGAAAAGCACCAGTGAACTCAGCACGTCAAGGCGCGTCGAATGACATACTTTTTAGCTTGCTTAAGTGTACTTAAAGTTTTTCTTAAATTTTAAGTAAACTAATAAATTAAGTTCAAGTTAACCAAATTGCATCATATCGCATATCATTCGATTCGGCTGATCACCTGGAACAAATGATACCATTTTTAAGCTCTAGCGTCATTATGTGCCAAGTTATTGGCAAAAACGTCATTTGGCCTCAGTTGACCTCATTTGACCTGACCCATGTATAAGTACACCAAACAAAGAAGCACCAAGTGACCTGCTGTTAAGTACTGTGGTTTTAAAGCACAAAAGTGATAGAACGAAGCGGATATCTCAAGTATTTTCCGAATTTAGTATTTTCCCATCGGCTTAACATTACGACGTAATGACCTCTAACTGACCTCAGGTCAGTGACCTCAGAAAACCCGAACCATATGTTATACAACTCGGTGAACTTAGCACATCCTGAAAGTTTGAAAGAAATCAGTCCAAAACTGTGAGTTGGACAGGTGCAAAAAGAAAATTGAAATTTGACCATGACCTTGTACCGGTTTTTCTGACCTGGTGACCTGACCCAAGATCACCCGGGCCTGAAATTTTTAGGTCATATGTAAAAAGGTTGCCCTATAGGCTGTACCAAATTTGGCGGCGCTGCGCGCCGCCGTTTTTACGCTATCTTCGAAAAACCTTAGGGGGGGGGTCGCATCGACCCCCCTGCCAGGGCGAGGGTTATGATGCTCATTGACAAGTGTCAAGTGTAGAAGTGAAAATATACGTAAGACGAACGGATCTTTCAATTCGATGAATTTGAACGGATCTTCAAATTCAACATCGAGCGTCGACATCTACAAAATCGACTTCGACAAAGACGTCGAGTACAATTGGAAGGTATGAATATATCGCTGTATCTTTCCAGAGCCTCTTTTGAAATATCTATGATGAGTTTGGCTATTCGATAACTGACATGCATGAATAATTTTCATCCGAGATATAGCCTGTTTAACCCTCGCCCTGGCAGGGGGGGGTCGATGCGACCCCCTCCCTAAGGTTTTTCGAAGATAGCGTAAAAACGGCGGCGCGCAGCGCCGCCAAATTTGGCACAGCCTATGGGGCAACCTTTTTACATGTGACCTGAAAATTTCAGGTCCGGGTGACCTTGGATCAGGTCACCAGGTCAGAAAAACCGGTACAAGGTCATGGTCAAATTTCAATTTTCTTTTTGCACCTGTCCAACTCACAGTTTTTCACTGATTTCCTTCAAACTTTCAGGATGTGCTAAGTTCACCGAGTTGTATAACATATAGTTCGGGTTTTTTGAGGTCACTGACCTGAGGTCAGTTAGAGGTCATTACGTCGTAATGTTAAGCCTATGGGAAAATACTAAATTCGGAAAATACTGGAGATATCCGCTTCGTTCTATCATTTTAGTGCTTTGAAACCACAGTACTTAACAGCAGGTCACTTGGTGCTTCTTTGTTTGGTGTACTTATCCATGGGTCAGGTCAAATAAGGTCAACTGAGGTCAAATGACGTTTTTGCCAATAACTTGGCACATAATGACGCTAGAGCTTAAAAATGGTATCATTGTGTTCCAGGTGATCAGCCGAATCGAATGATATGCGAAATGATGCAATTTGGTTAACTTGAACTTAATTTATTAGTTTACTTAAAATTTAAGAAAAACTTTAAGTACACTTAAGCAAGCTAAAAAGTATATCATTCGACGCGCCTTGACGTGCTGAGTTCACTGGTGCTTTTCTTTTTGCTCTATCTTAATTAGATCAAAAGTTATAAGCGAAAAACTTTTGACCTGTTTTTAGCGAAATTTTTACATTTATACCCCCCAAAACCCCCCTAAATATTGACCTAGAGCAACCAAATTTGCACAGGGGCGAGAACTCCAGGGGGCCCACCTACCTACCAAATTTGGTGTTTCTAGGTGCCATAGGAGCCAATCGCGAGGGGGGGTCGCATCGACCCCCCCCCCCCCCCTGCCAGGCCGTGTTATGAAAAATGCCCTGCCAGGGCGAGGGTTAAAACCTACAGCTCCTACGCCCTGAGCCCCGAACCTTCATTAGTCGGCCGGCGGGAGCCGCGCTCGACCACTGGCCCCGCTGCCACCTTGATGATCGCGCCGGCCGGTGCAGGCCAGCCCCTCCGCTGGATCGCCGGCGCACCTTCCAGCACCGCCAGCCGCCGGTGGCAGGTATTTTGGGGCTGGCTGCTCGGCCAGACCGGTGCCAGCCAAACAAAGACGCTCCAAAACCAACAGGCCGGGCCGGGCCGGCGCTGCGGGCCTCGCCCACCGGCCCCGCAGCTGGCAGAGGCGGCGGATCAAGGCAGTGGGCGGCGGCGGAGCGGTGGGCGGAGTCTGCACTCGGCCCTCACGGCCAGGGCGACCCACTTGGAATCGGAGAACACTACCCTGCTTTTTTGGTTTCTCATCAGATGCGTTGAAACACAAGCAGTACCTAGGTCGGCGTCAGAAAACTGTTACGCAAGCGACTTTCTGCAGCGCAAAAACGTGCACGGATGGTGCACCCAGCAAAGTTGAGAGCGACTCTATTCAGGAACCAATTGGTTAAATGGAAACAATTACAGTGGGATGGCTATCACTGATGATGTCAGGTCAAGGAAACCTTCGTTTGTAATTTATAATGAGGACCTGGTCTGCCTGCATTTCTTCTTCTTCTTTTTTGTGTGAAATGCTTTAATATTTTTGCCCACCCGACCAATGAAGAAATGGAAATTTGTTCATTGAAAGGTAAGTACACTGCACTTGTTTTCTTGCCTCAAAATAATCATCAGCTGTAACTGTCGATCTTTCAATGGAAAACTTTTTAGAAGCGGTGCGGATCGACGAAATTACGACTTACCGTGTACCACACCGCTTATGTGTTTCAAATGGTAGTAGGTATCACAGGGATGGACGAAATATAAAAAATGCGATTATGTCCATGTTAGGAATCATGCTTCAGATTAGCAAATGCATTGGTGGTCACTGCACCAACTGGTGGTTATCATGGCTTATGCTCAGTAACTGGGGGCGAAAATTCCATCTAAGGCGGGACTCCATCTAAACTCCTTCTACCCGAGCTGTCATGCACCGACCGACGAAACTACCCACTACCCAGACAAACAGGACCACGTGACTTTTGCACACGCTACAAATAGAAGGCGGTCCTCCTCAGCACAACGTGTTAGGGAGGTGTGGCACGAAGCGCCGGCTCTGGTTGGGTCTAGGACGCTGACGTCAAAGACTAAGCTTCCAATCAGCGACGCTGCTGAGGTACACACTGCCATGTGACTTTTGCACACGCTACAAATAATCCTGGCCACTTTCCACTATGTGTTAGTGAGGTGTGGCACGAAGCGCCCGGCTGGCTGAGCAGGTCGCTGACGTCAGTGGCTGGTCGTCCAATCAGCGACGCCGCTGAATCACGTGCTTTTGCACACGCTACAAATAGCACGAGCTTTCTCTCTTCACAACGTGTTAGGGAGGTGTGGCACGATGCTCCAGGCTGGTTGGATCTAGGTCGCTGACGTAAGAGGCCAGCTGTCCAATCAGTGACGCATCTGAGTCAAACATTGCCACCTGGCTTTTGCACACGCTACAAATAGCACGCGGCTGGAGTGGGTTAACAGGGCAATCCAGGTGGGACCGCTCGGTAAGGTCAAGGCTGTTGGCGTCAAAAGTTATTTATCTGTGATACCTGGATGGTTGGGCGATGGCCGCACCTAACAATTGGAACGTGAAACGGTGACTTCGAGACGTTCAGCGACTTTGAAGGTAGATGATGCATGATATCGTTTTGTTTTCAATTATAGGGGAGAGTGGGGAAAGGGGTTTGTAAAGTTACATTAAAAAAAAAATGACGCCCGCAAAGCAAGAACTTGGAGTTTCAGCGTAAGCCGACATCATTTTTCTCCACAAAATGTTACACTTCCGTGCTTGAAATATGATAACTTTTTTGATATTAGTTATTTTCCTGAAGTAGTGCAAGGGGACATCTTATCCCAGAGGGTGGGAAAGACGCCCCCTGGCGTTGGGTAAGATCCTTAGTAGGTATACATCCTTAGTATACTTAAATGGGCACGTGAATTGCCTGAACGAATCAGTTCCCTTCTATTCTGTGGTAGGCACCTAAACGCCATCGTAAGGACCCTCAAAAGTTGCCGTGAGGGGCTTCAGAGGTCATCGTGAGGGCCATCATAGTCCAGCGCGGTCAAACAAGCCTTCGTGGTGGCGTTCAAAGACCGTTGTGGGGCCCTTATAGGTCTTCATGAGTCTTGAGAGCCCTCAAGACCATCGTGGGGACATCAGATGCCAGCGCGGCCCGTGGAGCCATTTTGGCGGTCCCAAATGATGCTCTGAGGGGTCGCGGAGCCAATAACCCGCGCCCGGCTGGGGGTCCTGGATTTCCACGCCCTGCTGGGGGGGGGGGGTGTTTGAACTTTGAACACCCCCCTTCTAACTCGGCTCCTGGGCCACGTAGCGATACGCGGAAGGCGGCGTTCGAAAGAGCGTCAAAAATAATGAGGAAATCACTTCGGACAATTTTTTGGTCAGGTCAAAGGTCAGGTCACCAGAGGTCATTGAAGGCAAAATTTCGCCGATTTCCAGGTCGAATGTCGACAATTTCCAAGAAGCCAACGCATAACTCGGGAACCAATAGAGCTACAGCGCCGCAGAAAAGCGCATTCGATAGCCCTATTAACGCCCTTTCTGAGTAATTCTCTCAGATTTGACCTAACGTCAACGGTTTTGCCTGCAGGGGGCAAAAACTGCAAAAATAACCGATTTTTTTCGGAAACAGTTTTCCTGAAATAACTTTTGACCCAAGCCTTGTACGAGCTTACTTTTACCGGCATCGTGTTCCTCTCGTCAAGACGCATCGAATGAACTATAACTTGACCTTGAAAGGTCAACTTGAAAATTTGACCTCAGGTCAAGGTCATGACCTGACCGGAAAGGGTCATGTTGCATATCAGTCGATCCGTATCGTCGAGCTGAACACATCTAAGGTGTTTTCATCGCTCTAGCATGCCTCTATCAAAAGTTATTTGCGAAAAACTGTTCGATACCATTCGTGACCTAAGATGACCTCAGGGCATAAACAGGGGTCACGGACACCATTTTCATGTTCAGTGTGTCTAAACCACTTGTATTTCAGTGTTTAGGAGTGTTTATAATGTCTTTCGTCCAAAAGAGGCGCATTTCAATTTTCTCCCATTGACTTATAATGGGGAGGTCGCAAAATTGACCTGACCTTAGGTCATCGATATCAAAATTCTGAGATATACATTTTGTACATGCTATTGCTCTTAGCAATCGCTGAAAATTTCAAAGCGATCGGTCACTCGGTGTAGCTATGACAGACATTGAAACTTTTTATGAGGTGAGGTCACTTCAAGTGACCTGGTGACCTGACCTTGAATGACCTTGGTCTGAAATTTTCACAACATGTGTAGAATTGATGTATAATAAGGTGTACCAAAAACGGCGGCGCTCCGCGCTGCCGTTTTTGAGATATTCGCGAAAAACCACAAGGGGGGTGTTCAAACACCCCCCCCCCCAGCAGGGCGCGGGTCCACACTCCACAGAGGCCGTCGTGAGGGCTCTCAGAGTCAGATATCGCCCAAAAAGTCGGTGTATGGGCCGAGAGACCGGCATGAGGAGCACCTGACCGTTATATTGCACTGTCAATAGTCCTAAATCGCCTTTTATTTCTCACCACAAGTACATATGTACTAAATGATTCGACAGGTTTCTTGAAGGGCAGCCTATGGGTTAGGTGGCGTCTTTCCCCATCAGGTCAGGGGGCATCTTTCCCCAGGCACCGAATTGACAAATAGCAATTTGTACAATTTGTTAGTACTAAAACTAAACCCTGAACCAAACTGGCTGGGACTCAGTACACGCATGTGAATGCATCACGGCAATAACAAAGTGCATAAAAATTGTTTACCTTTTTGATATTCACAATGTTTTGACACCAAAATATATATATATATTTTTTTTTAATCAGCAAATACAAAACATGCAGCCACCAGCCCATCATTGCCCAACTGAGCTGCGTAATCTTTTTGTGCAGTAAACAATAAAGGCTTCCGCTTTACGCTAAGAGCATTATTTTCCATATTGTATTCCTTGTTTCGCCATTAGAGAGGCTGCGGCGTCTTTCCCACCCTGGGCATCGTAACCCACTCTCCCCTACTTTTATCATGCGGATACTTGGCGAACTACTGACAACTTCATTTTGAAATATCGACCTTCAGATCAACGAACCGAAAAAAAAAACACTTTGGCATCTTAGGTATGTCCATAAAGTTAGCGTCGTATTCGTATTCGGATTCCAATTCGAGTAACTGATTTCGCTCAAAATTGGCATACAGAATACAGATAGCCCATGGCACGCTGAGTTCGAAAATGGTGACCTGGGTAGCTCACTAGCTATATGGTCGACCTTTTATCGGCCACCTTCGCAAACGATAAAAGGAGCTCAAAGACTTGTAAAAAAAAAAAATGATCAAAAAGATAAATACCTACATTGAAGTTGTTTAATTGCTTTTCATTAATTCCGCAGGCTGTTGTAATATATGTATGCACAATGATTAGTGATCATTACTAGTGATAAAGCGATCACATTTTCTACAGAACAAGAAAGTCAACGATGATTTTTACTTGGGAAAGTCACTAGATGAGAAGGAGAGCTATGCAGGGCTTTCATGTCCCAAACAAACGTAGTGGAGGGCACGATGCTCCGGAGTGAGGCAGGGAGTCCCAGTCTCAGCTGGAGGAGATAGCAGTTTGATGTCATGACTTGGTGTGCGCCGTGCGGTATCCCAGTCTGATGTGACCTGGTGCAGGTGGTGTTAAAGTCTGAGGTGGCGACGGATTGGACTGTATCCTATTCTGAAGTGGGGAGGTCCCAGTCTAGGTCACTGGGGCGGTTTGCGCTACCCTGTCCGCCGGGTCTCGGCGGCGCCCCGGTTTGCGCGCTGGCAGGTCACTGAGGCGGTTGGCGCTACCCTGTCCGCCGGGGTTCGGCGCCCCGCCCCGGTTTGCGCGCTGGCAGGTCACTGGGGCGGTCTGTGATACCCGTCCGCCGAGTCTCGGCGGCGCCCCGCCCCGGTTTGCGCGCTGGCAGGTCGGGTCGGGGTGTCGGCCGCTGCGGAGACGGTTGGCAGCGGCTCGGCCTCGTCACCGACCTGTGTGCCGCTCGGCCGGTGAGTCATCGCGCACTATTTCGGGAGTAGGACGGCCGACGGGTGGCGGCGGCGGCTGCCCACGCCCCTGTTTACTCAGAGCAGTGATAATAAGCAGGTCGGTCTGTCACAGAGGATCCAGGGCCGCTTCAATCCCCGCGCTCCCCCGTTCTGTCAGCCGCCACCTGACATTTTGGGAAAATCCAGGTAGCCGACGTCCCCAGACGGACAGTGTGCGAGCCACGGGTGTAATTCAGTTCAGTCTCTGCTGGACCCCGTACACAATTTTCATGAGCAGCCCTGCCTTACACAGAGCGACAGCACATGCAACGATCCCAGCTCTAATACCCTCCCTTTCTCACACATGACTGCAGCATGGGTTAAACAGGCAGCAACCTTCGATAAAAAAACTCGGGCTTACAGAGAGAGAAAAAAAAACTGCAACGGACAGTCTCAAAGGGACATTGTTAAGTATTTATCACTTATCAGTGATAGACAAATCAAATCACTCAACTCACCAATATATATGGAACATTTCGGAATTGAATAGACTGA